ACTGTTTCCAGAAAGGGTCCTCGGAGTATGCCTGCAATTCCTTGTTTTTCTTGAGCAGGGACTCAGTATATTGTGGACTGCGAGGGCCATTAACGTGGGCCCAAGCAAATGCTCGGCTTGGCACCTTTTCCGAACAGACAGCAAGACGGCAGGTTGCATGGCTGATTTCCCAGCAAAGGGCAGAAAACAAGTGCGACAACAGGAAAACCACACAGCGCAGGAGTGTGTGCAAAGGAGCATCAAAGGCAGCCAGCCTGAGGATTTTGCAGAGAAGGCCGGCTTCATCGGGACAAACCAGTAGCCCACATAGCCTTGAATTCTTCTCTTTTGTATTTATAAATAGTTTTAATTCTATAAAATTGTTTTTTAATTATTGGTTTTTTTAAATTTTTTTAGTTGTTCTTGTTTTATCTGTAAGCCACCTTGAGTCCTTGTCAGGGAAAAAGGTGGGATATTATCAACAACAACAACAACACTACAGTTTTTATAATTTTCATTTACACCAATTATTCAACAAACATTCTAACATTTCAGATTTCTGCTCTGTTCCCCCTTTTTCTGTGGTTCTTTACATTTTTTTCATCATTTCCTGCATACTCCGAATTATCTTAACTTATTCTTTCATTCATCTATTTTCATGTACAGTGGTACCTCGGGTTACATACGCTTCAGGTTACATACGCTTCAGGTTACAGACTCCGCTAACGCAGAAACAGTGCTTCAGTTTAAGAACTTTGCTTCAGGATGAGAACAGAAATTGTGCTCCAGTGGCGCAGCAGCAGCAGGAGGCCCCATTAGCTAAAGTGGTACTTCAGGTTAAGAACCGTTTCAGGTTAAGAACGGACCTCCGGAACGAATTAAGTACTTAACCCGAGGTACCACTATATATCTCATATACGTTTTTGAAACTGCAGGCTTTTACAATAATCCTGCCCATGTCTTCATCTGTTTACAACTTGTTTGTAAAAACTCAATAAAACATTTGCATTCCTTTCTAAAAAGTTTGTTGATTTCTCATTCTTCTGTTTAAGTTTCGCCACTTCTGCATACTCCTTTACTTCCTGTATCCATTCTTCTCTCTTCAGAACTTCTTTTTCTTTCCATTTTTGGGCAAATAACATTCTTGCAACCACAATAATAATACTCCTAGACCAGAAGACATGATCAGCCAAGGAGGGCCCTTGCGGAACACTTAGTTTGCTTATATGTGAATATACACCAGTTGTGGGTTGGATAAGGATTGGAAGGAGTGTTGCTCAAACAAGGACTGCTCCAAGCTCAGATTCTTGTTTGTGAAATCAAGGCAAGCAACACTCACTGCAAGCAGACCCCACCCTCAATTCTGCTCACTATTCAGGGGTTATTCTACAATTTCCACCTCTACCGCACAAGGAAGCGGCACATGCCCCCGGTTCGAACATTTTCTTACTAATGATAAACAGCAGGGAAGGGGAAATGAGAAAAGAAGGGAAGAAAAATTACAAAGAAAGAGAGACAGGAATGTTGGGAATAAATGAGCGAGCAAGGAAGGGTGCCTTGGGGAAAAAATGGGAGATGTCTTTGGATACTGTCCCTTCTCATACTATTTTGGGGTGAGATTATTATTACTATATATTTAATTTCTATACCAGCCTTCATATAAAGATCACAGGGCAGTTTACAATTTAAAAGCACAGAAACACAAATTCGGGTGCGTGCATGTGTGTTAATGGGTTTATCCTGCTTTCTTTTAACCCGGTAGCTTCAGTTACTAATCCTTTGTACAGCCTTTCTGCCTAAAATATATTTTTTGCCATTTGCAGCTGGGCTCTCATCCGTGCCTGCTAATGAACCTCAAGTATCTGCCAAGGAGCATCGAGAGCCTGCTTCTGCTGCTCTACCAACACTCTCCAGTGTGCCTGTCTCCTCCGATAACCAGGAGAAGTCGAGGAAACTCACCCTTACTGCTGGAGACACTGAAAATACCACATCTAATCCAACCATATCTGGTTGGAGTGTCAAGCATTTTACCAGATTCCAAGGTCACCGAACATGATCTGAAAGATGACTTTGAACAATTTCGTAAGAATAACAGGCACTATGTGAGATGTAGTAATGTTTCAAGCCTCCAGAAACAGTAAAACAACAACAACACTGTTTTACAGCTGCTGCTAAAGTGTCCCCCAGCATAAAAGAATTTGGAACTATTTTACAAAAATGAGGCATTCGTAATGCTGTACATGATCCTATGTCTGCCTTGCAAAATATTTGCAGTACATCTTACCAATGTTTTGCCCTTGCAGATGTTGTAAATGAGAAGTTTTGCAGGGTCTACACCTGGCTTGGGAAGTTCGGTGGGGCTTACTCCAAAGTGAGTGACTTTAGAGTTACACTTCTGATCTTTAAGATACTATTCTATGTTTCCGTACCTACGAGCACCGTCTTGGGAACACAACAAGAATTAGACTTGAAGAATTAGACTTGAAGAAGGAATGAGACTTGAGGAAGGCCCTCTGTCGTGGATGCTTTAGCTGAGATTCCTCAGCATTCCAGCTCTACAATGCTATGATTCTAAGGAGCCAACATAACAGTGCAATCCTATACTTCTCTACTCAGAAGTAAGCTCCATTAAGTTCAAGGATACATACTCTCAGTTAAGTGGTTACTAGGATGGCAGCCAACGTCTTATCATCATCTGCTAAGTTGTCTCACTAACCCACCTTTGGCCTTGCTCTTTAGCTCCAGCTTTTGCTGTTTACAGCCTGTACCACACACCCCCACCTTATATTAAAAATTCCTTCTCAGTAATTTTCAAACCTTGACAGCAAAAAAATAAATGGGAGGGGGGGTGGAGAGAGAAGCTGCAGTATGAAAGATGGGTTTAAATAAGAGGCTGCTTCAATGACTAACTGTTGTTGAGCTGTAAACATTTAGCCCACTCAAGATGTTCCCAAAAAGACTTGCTCAGCATGATAACACAGGGCTGCAAGCCAAGGATGAGGTAATGTCATAATTACTTTAGCAACACGCTGGCTGAGCCAGAAGCGAAGCAAAACCCTGCGCTCCCTGCATGGGAAGCTCTGGCTGGAGTTTGCAGGACTGCGGCTCCATTCCCCTTCTCCTTCATTTGCAGCCGTGTGACAGACATACGCTGCAGGCAGTTATCTGAACCTTTGGGGCCAAAGTAGCTGCGGCGTTTCTCACACGTGCTTTGCTGTGGCGTAGGTTTTCCTTTGACGAAGCCGCAACAGAACCACGACACCCCCAGAACCAACTAGTTACAATGGGCACGGACCCAATCCAGTTCACTGCCTCCTCATACAGTGGTACCTCGGGTTACATACGCTTCAGGTTACATACGCTTCAGGTTACAGACTCCGCTAACCCAGAAATAGTGCTTCTGGTTAAGAACTTTGCTTCAAGATAAGAATAGAAATCGTGCTCCGGCAGCGCGGTGGCAGCCGGAGGCCCCATTAGCTAAAGTGGTGCTTCGGGTTAAGAACAGTTTCAGGTTAAGAACAGACATCCGGAACGAATTACGGTAAGTACTTAACCTGAGGTACCACTGTATAGGCAATTTGTTAAAAGCATGGCTGGGAGGCCTGAAGACTCCAACTCCCAAGCATGGCCAGTGGTCAAGGAAAAAGGGCGTTGGAGCCCATAACATCTGGTTTGCTAGCGGTCCCCCAGAAGCAGTCAGCCTTCAAATTACGACTTTTGCTTCACAATGATCAGACAGCTAAGCTGCTTGTCTTTCTTCTGATGTTTTTAGATTTTATTTTTAGGTTGTCCATTTCTTTATTATTCCTCTCAGGCATGGGAGTTTCTTTTGCTATGATTTTTCTTTGCGATCCCAAGACGATCCCAAAATCAACGGATAAGTTTTATATTTGCATAGATTCTTCAGAATACGAAGGAAAAGGCCCTGCATCTTAACGCAACGTTACTCCTATTATTTTAAGAAACAGCCGTGCACACGTGCGTTTAAAATGAACAAGTTAAATGCAGTCAATTGGTTGTTTATAACCAGAAGTCACTGTGAGCAAATAGTCCTGTATACAGTTTGCAAAAACATGAAGCGGGGCCCTGCGTTGGTTGTTTCCTGTTTCTTTTCTTGACATTAATGTAGCACCTCTCCTGAGTCCACCCACGCCCCCAGGCAAAAAGAGAGTTTCAGCGGCATTCAGCGTGGAAAGAACCACTTCTCATGCAACTGTTTATTCTAACAGAATTGTGTATCTGGGTGGGTGGGGCTTTCACAGGTCCGGATGGGTGCCAGAACTGGCCTGGCTCCGTGCCTGAGATGTTAAGCAGAGGTAACCATGAAATATATTTTCTCCCAGGCCTCAGGACTGGGTCTGTTCTGCTCTGAACAAATTGGCACTGACAAGTATGCATCAAAAAAGTAGAATGAAAAGAGGGGGAGCAGCTTGTTCCCTGCACCTCACTCCTAGCCTAGATGAATAATGCAAATTATGTACATGCACATATGTACGTGTATATTGTATAAGACAAAGGTTAGGACTCTTTGTCAAGGGCTACGTTATGGGGTGGAGGGCATGGCAGTGCGGAAAGTAGGTCCACAGTCGAAAGGAGGGAGACACCAGGTTGTTAATACTAACTGTGGTGAATGTTAACCAGTTCCTAGTTTGGACAGTGTGGGAAACTGCGGTTAAGGAAAAGCAGCAGAGAAAACTCAGGATGGTCTCAGCCGCACAAGAGCCTGGGTTGATGCTAGGGCTCCATCAGCAGTATTGATTAAAAGCAGCATTGTGCCAAATTTAAACAGTTATGGCTTCCTCCGAAGAATCATAGGAAGTGTAGTTTGTCAAGAGAGCTGTTAGGAGGTACCTGTTCCCCTCACACTATTCCCAGAGTTCCCTGGAAAGAGGGAAAAACTGAGAAACCGTTCCAAGAACTCTGCGAGGGAATTAGGAGGCCTCCTAACGACTCTAAGCGCCCTGAACAAACTACGGTTCCCAGCATTCTTTGAGAGAAGCCCTAATGGTTTAAAGTGGTATGGTTGTGTGGTATAGTGGTTGAAAGTGTGTTGGACCAGGACTTGGGGAGATCAGGGTTCAAATCCCCACTCGGCCATGAAGCTTGGGCCAGTCGCTGCCTCTCTCAGCCCAACCAACCTCACAGGATTCTTGCTGGAATTAAACAAGGAGCCGGGGGTGGGGGTGGGGAGAACCATGTAGGCCACCTTGAGCTCCTTGGAGGGAAAAGTGGGATATAAAATGCAATGAATGAATGATAAATGCTGATTTGACTGTTTGGGGCCCTAATGTCTTTTGCCCCTGTGAACCATATTGAAGGTTTGGCTTATATTTACTGTTAGTACAGTGGTACCTCGGGTTACATACGCTTCAGGTTACATACGCTTCAAGTTACACACTCTGCTAACCCAGAAATATTACCTCAGGTTAAGAATTTTGCTTCAGGATGAGAACAGAAATCGTGCAGTGGCGGCGCAGCGGCAGCAGGAGGCCTCATTAGCTAAAGTGATGCTTCAAGTTAAGAACAGTTTCAGGTTAAGAACAGACCTCCGGAACGAATTAAGTTCTTAACCCGAGGTATCACTGTATCATAGAATTGTCAATCGTCTAGTCCAACCCCCTGCAATGCAGGAAAACGCAGCTGTCCCACACAGGGATCGAACCTGCAACCTTGACGTTATCAGCACCACATGCTAACCGACCGAGCTAAGCTGCAATGGAGCCCTCAGGACTGTTTAAAGTGGTGTTGTGATATTTAAATGGATAGCGCAGATGGGGCCTAAGTTTGTTTACGTGGCACACAGTCGCGGTTTAGTGTGACATCCAGATGTGGCCAAAGGGAGTTGGCGCTTGAGGGTTGGCTGCTGTGGGGGCCTCCTTTCCTCCTCCTCCTCATGGCTCCCGGGATTCCAGTGCCATGCAGATGTTTACGAGGCAGGAATGAAGGCCTGCGCCCACAACTCAAAGCTACGTGAGCCATTAGCTCCTTTCTGGAAAGGCGTGCCGTCCTCTTAATTGAAGTGCAGCCATTTTCCAGGGGATTGGTGTCCATTTAATGACAGCATTTACAGGGCGTGTTTGTTGTCCCTGCAAATACAGGAAGGTGCCTCAGCAAGTCAGGACACTACCAACTCATTGCTCAATGCATTATCCCGAAAAACAGCCAGGGAAATAATATTCCCTGAGGTCATTTAGCTCCTCCTGGGGGGGAAACAAAACAAAACACAAACCTTTCCTCTTTTTTTTTTTATTCAGAAAGGCAAGAACTTTCCCTAAATATCCTTCTGTTAACTTCATCAAAACTGGCAGATTGAGGCTGGGGAGAAGAAGGGGAAGGCTGGTCACCTGCCAGATAAACGTCTGCAGAGAAACATAATTAGAAAGCCCGCTTCATGGCTGCTCACGATCAGTCTAAAATAGGCAGCTTCCCGATGGTCTGTCTCTTGGTCACACCCTTGACGTCACACTCTACCCTAGCATGACACGCAAAAGCAAGTGGTAGGAAAGCCTGCACCGCTCCCAAGCTACAGACGGGGGAATCCTGCGGCCAAATGTTCCTTCAGCGTTAAATCCAAAGCACAAGAAACTCCCTGCAAATAGAAAGGGGGGAAAAGGTACTAGGCCCCAGAACTTGGCCTGCTCTGTTGGTTTTCTGTTTGCGGGGAAGATATTAAACTCGAAGGAACATTCAAAAGACGTCATGCTCCATCCACATTCTCAAGGGCCGCCAGCCCATTTTGCCATCCTATTTTGCTACATGCCTGTTGCCGGTTCCCGTTTCTTGGGGCGGGGAACCAACAAATGGGATCACCTGTTTTTTTCAGTAGTGGCTGGGAGCCATTTTGATTTTCCACAATGCTCCAGAGCATTGCTCCTAACACTGTGTGGGAAATTAAAATGGCCACCAGACCATATTTGTTTTCCACAGCGCCCCTGAGATAGTGGCGCTCTTCAGAAATCACCCTGCCTGAGGTCATGCTTCTTCTTCACCCAGAATGCCTTGCCCTAAGGAAGACCCCCTTGGACCTCGGAGTGGGGAGGAGGAGACCCCTCCAGAAGCTTCTCCTTGCCTCTGCCGCCTGAGGCGATTCTCTCAGATTTCTGGCTCTGGTTGCCCTGGGCTGCCTTCTGTTGCCCTGAGATTGGCTGCATGTGAAAAATCTGGTGCGAAAAATAAACATAACACAGGGCAGGGAAAGTTCTAGTTCTTACAAAACTAGCAAACCTGTTTCTAGGATGCAGCACAAGGTTGGGAGAGATGAAAGGAGTCACACACACCCCGCCCACCTTTTTTATTTACTTAATCGTGTCTATATTATTTTAACCTGCAAAGGAATCCAAGCCGTTCACAGCAGAATCAAAGCTAAGCATAAAAGCAAGCACTATTTTAAAAAAATCACGCATGTCACAAATGCAGTTAACCCAAGTGTGACACCATTAAAATCCACTTAGGCTGCATTCCTAACCACATTTACGTGGAAGTAAGCCCTATTGAATTCAGCAGGACTTACTTCTGAGTAGACATGGCTAGGATCAAACTGTTAATCTGGGAGTATATCTAAGTTTGTCAGGAATAGATTTGCAGTTAATAGCTGCTCTTTGGAGCCCTGTTGGTGGAACAGAAATGAATGAGTAAAAATAAAACAAACTTCCTTAACTTTAAGGTGGCCTTTTCATTCATTTTGTTTTTCTTATAAAATAGCAGATATATATTTTGGGGACAAGTATTTACACAAGGCCCAGCCTATCTTTTTAAAGAGTAAACTATGAACTCCTTGGGACAGAACATATAAACTCTATTTCCTTTCATTGTCCAGTTCTAGAAACAAACAGACTTTGGAAAAGGTCTCCGGTGAAATTGTTTTCTTTTTGACATCTTCCTCCTGTGTTGGACTGCGGTGGGCCTCAGTCCAAGCTACCTTCTTCCATACTAGGCTGGGTCTCTGGGTCCCCCCCCCCCAAGACTGATGTTGGAGCATTTCAACAAGTAGCTTTCAGTCAAACACCCCCCACCGTTAGGGATTCAGGTAGCAGACCCTCCAAGTGTCCCTATTTTCCAGGGACAGTCCCAGATTTACAGAATCTGTCCCAGTTTCTGATCTGATCCCAGAATGCCCCGCTTTTCCTTAGGACATCCTTCCAACTCCACTTTCATTTCTAACTTGTTGACTAAATTAGGCTTTTGATCCACAACACAGAAAATGTGTTCTTTTGTTGTTGTAGGACAGGGGTGTCAAACTCAAATTCATCGGGGGCCGCACCAGCAGTTTGGTCACCCTCAAAGGGCCGGTTGTATCTGTAGGACTATGTGTCCACTCTTTATTATCATAAATAAAAACAAGTGGAGGTTTCCTGAATGCATGTAAAGTGGAGGTTTCCTGTGTATAACGGCCAGCGCCGCTAGAGGGCAGACGTTTTCTGGCTTGTAGGCTGCCGTGCATGTGCTGAAGAGGCGGCGTTCTTGTGTCAAAAAAAAAAAAAAGCGAGAATAAAAGGTGAAGGCTGGTGGCCGGCGGCGGCTACACGGGCCACATGACGAGGTCTGGCGGGCCGGATTCGGCCCGCGGGCCTTGTGTTTGACACCCGTGTTGTAGGACATGGAGAAAAAAGTAGCAATCTATGTTCACCCAGCTGTAAGTATGATTTGCAAAGGCTTCCTAAGAGCAATGCTACTGGCTGTATTAATGATGTAATATGAAAAGGTTTTTTCTGTGTTGTTTTCAGAACTGCTGTGTCATTTAAAATATTCTTAGGGGCTGTAATATAATTGTGACAGCAGCCAGATTGATTATCTATCTATCTATCTATCTATCTGTCTATCTATCTATCTATCTATCTATCTATCTATCCACTTTTTTACCTCCGTAAAAATGTTGACTTGGGAAGCAGCCCTTATGTTTTTATTCATATAGTTATTATAACCTCTGCATTTAAGAAGCAATCATTGAAGGTGAAAGTCCAATCCAGTCAAAAAAGAATGAGCAGCTGAAACAAAATTCTACATAGAGCATGAGACTCTATGTTGGATACAACCCACGATGTCTATCAGTCTCATATGTCTATGTGCATGCCTCCTCTGGTCGCATACAAAGTTGAGTGGAGTGGACGGGACGTGGGAGGCATTATAGGAATATGGAAAGAGGCAGGCAGGCGAGGGGAAATAAATGCTCCCCTCCAGACCAGCCACTTATGCTTTGCCAAAAAGAGGAAAGACCTTCCTACCTCTCCGTCCCCCATGAAAGGGACAGATTTGCATGAAGTTTGCATATGCTGATTTATATGAAGTTTAAATTTAGTAATTTAGAAATAGTTACTAGTTTAAAGAGAAATGCAATGCATCTCACCACTGTAGGGAAGATATGCTCATCAAGCAAGATATTCACAAAGCCTGCCCCCAAATGTTCCTGAATCTCAAGTGAAAATAAATAATTCAACCTAATTGTTGTCGCTGCCTCCTTTGGGCTCCTGTTGGCAGTAAATCCAGATTAACAGACCCTTGCTGCTGCCAGCAGAGGCTTTGAAGAATCCTTTGCTGCTACAAAGCTAATGAGCTTTATGAGCAGAGAACCACCTTCTAAAGTTCAGCAGAAGGTATGTTTGTGTGCTCTGATTAAGCGAGCGCGAGTGGGAGGCAATGCAGATGGCTGAGAATATGCTACTGGCGAAACACAGATGATGCTTTCACCAGAAACGATCTAACATTCTGCCTAATACTGAATAGGTAGATACTGATGGCCATGGGTGCAAAGAGAAGTTATTCTCATGCCGGGCCAGACATCTGCACACCCAAACACCCTTGGGTAGCTGCTGCAGTTTAAACCCCCTGGGACTCCCCACCCCAAAACTTAGCAACTTGGAGCTACCATTTGAGTTCTCCATGGTGCACTGGAATGATGCATTGTGGGAAATTTAAGATGGCAGCGTAGGTAAGCCTGCTGGAAGTGGCCTGTGAAGGACAGGGCTCACCACTCCGCCTCACTCCCTTTGCCCTTGACAATCCTCTTTTGATAGAAACATTTAATTGATGATTCTTCTTTTTTAAATCTTCCAGGCGATGAACTCTGCTCCAGATCAGTCCACTCATGAGACGAAAAGAAGCTCTATGGCTTCCCAAAGGTTGGAAAGAATACTGCTGTTGATACGAGTTATAAACTTCTGAATTCTCCCTTTCAAGGCGAGAGGCGCATAATGGCCTTTTTGTGGGCAGAGATTAGAGAGTCTGGTTTCAGTTCCTTTGGCTTGAACTTGGTTTTGTCTTCCACATCTAGGTCAGAAGAGGAGCAACATTCATTTAAGTGAAGCTGAATTCTGAGTGGGCAGAAACTCCCAGCATTAACTGTTCTTATCTCAGCTGCAGCCGAGCCGAGGTGGAGGGGGCCACCACTGGGCTGGGGAGGGAAAGAAGGGCTCCCATTTGCGGGCGCTGTGTGTGGGGCCTCTCCCCAGCTCAAAAGAGGAGGCCCTTTCCTCACAATGGCAGAGTCTTCAGTTGGCTCCCTCTGCGAAGCTGAATGATGCTGATTGGAGCTTTGACATGTCAAGCAGGCATATCAATGGAGTGAACCTCCTTCTGTGATACGGGCAGGAATTTGGGAGGATGGCTTAATGCAGTTTTCAACATTATGGACTATGAGTGGATGCAGGCTGTGGGTCCAAACAGAGCCACTTCGGAACAACTCGTTGGGTGTGGGTACTTGTGAGATACTAGGGCATGGACAATGGCAACAAAATTGCAGAGGACTCCCTTCGGAAGTATGAGTTACAATCAATGAATGCCACAGAATTTTGCATCATGTACAAGGGATTTGATTACTTGGTAATCTGGAATATTTTTTCTTGAGTGACCTCAGGAAGAGAAGGAAGCCACTGCTCAGATCCCCAAGCAATCAATTCCTATGTCACAATCATACAGAGGAAAACAATAAAACTAACAGACTGCAATCCTATATCTGCTTACCTGGGAGTCAGCATGTTTAGGATTGCTACTTTTGCCTGCAACCAAACCACTAGAATTGCCACCTAACAGATTTGTGCTGCGTCTGGTCTGCGGCTATAATTCTAAAGGTAAACCTTGGAGTTGCTCTGCCCCACGCCTCGAATGTACAAAACTGACTTCCCCACAATTCAAGGCTTGGCACACTGAGCCCCTGGGTGATCACGCTGGGCAAAGCAAACCACTAATTTTTAGTCATCCATTTACAAAGCAGTTGTTCTCGTCCTTGAATCTTGCTTGGGACTTGTTGGCGAGAACATGGCAATTTTAGAGATTACATCCAAATGATGTTTTTGTGTGTGTGTGTGCGCTCTTCCAAGCACAATACAAGGTGCGGTGCTGAGATTCACAGTGCAATACTAGCTTCAACTCTGTGCCTCCTTTTCTCATGCCATTTCTCTTTTGTTGGCAACTGCACAATGACAATTTTGAACAGAAATCACTCCCGAGAACTTCCCCCGATTACCAGCCCTCAGTTTCAGAACTACATTCCCTTCTGAACCCCATCAAAAGTTCAGTCCAAACCCCAAGAGCAAATTCACAAAAAGGGACCAAACTTTAAACAGGAAAATGCACATGTGATGCCATCAGTTCACATATGTTTAAATGGCAATGTTTCTGTACAGTACACAGAGAAGCAATGGCAGCAAAGTGACCTCAATTGTTCGTTGTTTATTGCAAGTAAACCTGGGCATTTAAAGAGATATGCACCATTCACAATTAAGCACGAGTGTCACATAAACTCTTGAATAAGCTGCCACTTGGCAGAGAGATCTCCTCATAGTTAAAGCACCACTGGTTCCTCACCAAGAGGCCACCTATCCACCCATTCTCCAGCTGTTACTATGTGGTACTACCTGAAAATGTTTCAAACAGCTTGGGTCTGGTTATGCCCTAGTAACACACACTTTTGGGTCAGAAGACACTTTACATAGGAATGCTTCTAATATTGTACGCGGGACTAAAGCAGCATCTGGTGGCCAACTGGGTAAAGGCAGTTATTTGTAAATAGTTGGTGGTGAATACTAAAAATTAGACACACCGTGTGAAACATCTGTGCCAATTTTTCTTACATCATCATACAGTACGTTCAGTTTAGAGCGTGCATAAATTAAGGCCGTATAATATTTCCATGGTTTTTTTTTTTCTAATTAAGAATTTCAGAACCAATGTAGTAAAAACTGTATTCTGATGCGGGAAAGATTCACAAACGGGTTCAAGGCAAACATGAACAAGATTTCACGTTTAATCCTTACTAGTATTCATCACTCATCTGTAGGAAGTCAGTATTTTAGTGAAGTAATGCCTGTGCTTGGGACATGTGCTATTAACATTAGGCAGCTACCTTCATTATTCAGTTATCGGTGCTTGCTGAAAATTTTATTTTGACAAGCTTATTCAGACATAATTCAGGCATGTATACTTGTTTTAAAGGGACACGCGTGGCACTGTGGTCTAAACCACAGAGCCTAGGGCTTGCCGATCAGAAGGTCGGCAGTTTGAATCCCTGCGACGGGGTGAGCTCCCAATGTTCAGTCCCAGCTCCTGCCAACCTAGCAGTTTGAAAGCACGTCAAAGTGCAAGTAGATAAATAGGTACCGCTCCGGCGGAAAGTAAACAGCGTTTCCGTGCGCTGCTCTGGTTCGCCAGAAGCGGCTTAGTCATGCTGGCCACATGACCCGGAAGCTGTCTTTGGACAAATGCCGGCTCCTTGGCCAGTAAAGCGAGATGAGCGCCGCAACCCCAGAGCCGTCCGAGGCTGGAATTAACAGTCAGGGGTCCCTTTACCTTTATAGTTGTCTTTGAATTCTGTTGCTCTGTATTTTACTGATGTTACATATTGTTTTATGTAGAGAAGTTTAAGGGAATGTTTTGGTTAAGTAGTTTATACAATTTCTTACAAGTACCGATGGGACTTCCCTTTCGCCTCATTGTAACAACTGACACAACACAGCACACAGCCACCAACATACCTGAAGCCCTGCAACGACTGGAGAACCTCAGACTTAACCCTTCACCAGAATGGCAACCATCACCCACCAAACGACAACCAAGACGAAAATACAGCAAACGATTGGACGACAGTCAACAAGAGAAAGAAGAAACAACAGAAACGACGTGACAAAGCAAAGACAGTCAAGTACCACTCACAGAACAGCCCCGCAGAACATGCAACACAAGACTATGAACCAACCTCAGCTAAACCCACACACCACAGATTGACAACCCTGCAACAACAACTATTGCCAAATGAAGCACCCAGAAACCACCTCGAACCAATGGACTGGTGAATAATGTTAACAAAACCTCCAGATAAAAACCTGGCAAGCCAAAGGCCTATACTGTCTAAAATACTTCTACAAAAACAACAAACCCATACCAACACAAGAAATACAAGACAAACTAGGGGACACCCAAATACGTTGGCTAACACATGCCTTCTTAAACAATCCAGCAGTAAAATCAGTAGCCACTAGGCCCATGACCACCTTCGAAAACCTTCTCCCGACAGCAGAGGGACATGGCAAAGCAATGGTATCCGCAATATACAAAATACTGCTCCAAAATCCCACAAACCCCCTTGACACCATCAAAGAACAATGGGAGCACGACATAGGCTATGAGATTAACCCCACCCAATGGACTAGAAGGTGGTCTAAACCTCCCTTTAAGTCAAAGGTGGTCTAAACCTCCCTTATCAGCCAAAAGAAGGGAACTCACTCTGAAACTCAACTACAGGTGGTACTTAACGCCACGGAAACTGGCACTGATACGCCCAGGAACCTCACCAAGATGTTGGAGAGGCTGCAATTCCACAGGCACATACCTCCACATGTGGTGGGAATGCCCTAAAATCCAACCCTTCTGGACAGCAGTCCTATAAGAGATATGCAAAACTAACTAAACAGGTATTAAAACTCACCCGACAACTGGCCCTACTGAACATCTTCCAAGATCATAATGACCACTCACATTATATAGGGCTCATAACCCACCTACTCTCAGCAGCCAGAATCCTCACAGCCAGACATTGGTGAGATCTGTCAACAGTAAACATAGACCAATGGTATCAAATTGTATGAGAAATGGCCTTACTAGAAAAGCTAGCTAATAAACTTGAAACTGACATGGGAACCAATAGAAGAGGACCCCAGTATGGCTCCCATTTATCACATACACAGCCCAACAAGAAGAATCCACTGACAGCATACGAATCATTCTGGCTTACCTGATCGAACAAGCCTTCACCCCTTCACAAATGCAGACAAACCTCACTGCAGCCAACCACCAACATCCTGCCCCACAATACCTCTCACTACCAAGGAAATGTAATAAACCAATAGAAAGAGAACCTACCCAGTTGACGCTGACCCCAAACCCCACATGTACATTATTTAAACACCCCACCTCTCCTCTCCCCCAACCTTATACTGTACTCAACACGAATGCCTCACAACAAATGTAACTGATTTGTAAGAGAACGTACAATCTGAAAAAGAGACAAGGCATGTACTTTTGTAAACCAAGAAAATCTTTAATAAAAATAAATAATAAAAAATAGAAGAGGTGCATAATGATGTTTTAACAAGCTTTTATTGTGAAATATTGGATTTAGAAAAAAAGTACAAAAATGTCAACTGTCAAATGTGTGCCAGTACAGAATTTCAACAGTATATACACATGTAGCAAGCTGAACAGCTTCACCTCAGAATGGACATACTTTCTAACTAAAAAGAAACTGCAATATTCACAGGCTTAAAATACATAAATAACTGAAGCCCAAGTGAAAGGTTTTGTTCAATGCTAATTAACAATTGGAAAACTGACTTAAATGCACATTATAGTACAATGTATCACCCTCAAAATCTACATTAAAAAGTTCATTGTGAAGATAGCTACAACTCCAGGATTTCATTTGCTAGTTCCTAGCCTTAAAAACTCCCAAGTGAAGAGAGGGTATGAAACTTGTAAAACCAGAGTGATTTCTCTTCAAACACTGTAAAGTCCCTAAATGAGTCCATACTAGGATTTGTACAGCTCTGGCAGTTAAAAATTAAAATGCTGGGTCTCTTTTTCTAGAATGTTCCTGTTGCAGCATAAGCAGGTTTCAATGAGAATGATTTGATCAGAAAGTGAATCAGATTCATGGTAAAAGTTCTGGCAGGTTTTTGTATTTAAAAAACCACCCAAATCTACCAGTGACAGGTAGTCATTTGACTGGAAAAAGTATCAAAATACTCTGAAATGCAAGTAAGTAATGAAAAAAAAAAAACCTTCTCAATGATTAAACAGTCCAATAGGATAGCAGCAGTATATTCTACCCTCGCTGTTTTATCATGTTAAGATAATCAAATAGTATTTATAAATTTACAAAGTTCGTCTAGTATACAAAAAATTAAAAATAATCCTCAATATTGTAGAAAGCAGCTTTTTTTTTCTTTCAAATTACATTATTCAGTAGTCTGTTGGGAACAAATCTTCCCAATCTTCAGGTAGCTGGAGGTCCAAAAACAACACATTAACGCTAGCTGAAGCGCATGTTATTCTTTTAAGTAACTTGATAGTAACTTGAGCACCTTTGAATCAAATAGGATTTCCATTTTATGGAAAAGCAGCTTCATTTTTAAGCTGATGAGACCATGCCTTCTGGAATGAATTCATATCATATAGTAATTCATATCGTAACTCCCAAAGGGAACATTTAAAAAAAAAAAAAATTCTGAAGAAATGTAAGACAGGGACCTGAAACTTCCTACCTTCGGGTATTGCTTTCCACATTCTGCTGAGGGATGTCTGCCTGTCTATTACTGAACTCTGATGGTTTATTCAGAATCCTGGGACTTGTTCTAGGGATGCACAGTTGGGCTTGTGCAATGCTGACCAGACTTTATGGACTTAATTCCTCGGAACAAACTGGGAGTACATATAGAGCACATGTAATACACTTCCTGCAGCTTGAGATCAGTAGTGATGGGCAAGCTGCCCGCCTTTCAGAGAACTTTGTATGCTATTATTTATGTTTCCATGGAATCCTGCAGCTTCCCATAGGACTTTCTGAATGCCAGCATCAGGCTCTTTATTGAGGAATGAGATACTTGTCTTAAGAGATTTGTCCAATTCCTGCTGGGTACATGATTCTTCATCCTGTACTGATCCCACTTGACTACATGGCTGGCCCACAGACAGCAAAGCCAAGTGAGGGTCCATGGGGCTGGCGTTTTTTGTCCCATGTGAGAGCTTCTCTGGGGCCATTTCTTTTGGCTCCTGGGTAACCTGTCCCAGAACAGTGTGATTGCACCCTTAGCAATGTGAAGCTGTTTGTGTGGGGGGTGTTTGTTTCACTCTTGAGAAATAAAAAGGCATATTCTCCCAGCAGTTTAAAAAGGCATAGTACAATGAAATGTTATTAAAAGAAATTGCCAAAGAGTTACATTAGCTCAAATACTGTTCCTGCGTCATTCAATTTAGAACATGCCACAGGGAATATTATGAAAATTAGCACTGAGATAAAAGGTGAAATATATTTTAGAAGCCCTACAGTTTAGTGTGGGGGGGGGGGGAGAAATTAAGTTAGGCACAACATGAGTTAAGACAAACACCTTCTACACAGACAAATCTGTTACAATTATGTACAGCCAATATTCCTTTCCTGCCAGATCTTAACACCTTCTCTAGCATCCTAAACAACTCTGATCTTAACATCTGATTATTCTGTACATACATTTATTTATATACATCCACAAAGGAACATTTAAACATGATTTTTTTTTTAAAAAAGAAAAACTTTATATACAAAATACCAACATTCCTATAAATAATAAACAGTTAGGAGAAAAGGCACTTGCAAGAGAAAAAGTCTACAGTAAATTTTCAAAAAACACGTTTTGTTCAGATACTTACAATAGGGAATATCTCTTTAAATTTCTATCACAAGAAATGTAAAACACCAGTTATCACTAAGAATAGAACTGTTAAAATTCTTTTACATATTTATAGGTAATAAGCTTCTTGTCATAAAAGCACCATGATTTTAGACTTTCAACGTACTCTTATTTTGACCAAAAGATAATGCACAATTGTCAGGCATTTAGTGCTCCAGTTTCTGTTTCCAAGCTAGTTGTTGCTGGAATACTGATACGGTTGACCATTATTTTTCTTGATGTGGATCTGCCCAGCTCCTGGGCAAGTTCTGCTTTTGCCTAGGTGTCCTGTATAAATCCAATTTAGATTAATGATTCTGCACAATAGCCATACTTGATGGACTGCTCCCTCAAACTGCTGCCTTGCATATGTTATTGCATGATGTGGTTAAAAATAAGAGCACTCTTACTGATTACCAGTAACTGGCAAGAAGTCCTCTCCTGTATAAATTCTTTTTAAAAAGCATTCTTCAAGCCAGCTGAAGTATTTTAATCCAAATGGCTTAAACTTAAAAAGGGGGGGGGGAGTTCCACTACATTATCAGTTACAAAAAGGTGTAGGAAACATGCCAACTACTCTGTGTGCAAAAATATTCCTTTTTCCCACTACACAGGCTTCTAAGGAGTTTCCACAGAGTCATTTACCTTTTGAATATTAACACCCATGCAAACAGCCAGCACTTCATGGAGATGTGAGTATGCTCCCACTCTTGTCAAACTTCTTGCCTTTTGATAAAGCCGCAACTTGTTTGAGCAGTTCTCTGTTTTTTGCCTGCAAAAAAACAACACAACCCTTATAATTCTGTAGGTTGTATCGTACATACATTGCCATGCAATGTTGGACAATGCTCCACTTTCCTCTTTACACCATTCCCATGGTAGTTGCAGAAATGTCTAACAGATGTGGGCGAACGCCTGTGCTGCTGAAAAGGGCTCAAAGCCACGGATCCAAAGAGCTATGTAAGGTTCAGCCCAAGGGTTTTGGTACTCCAGTTCCTCCCCCACCCCAATCCTATTGCAAACTGTTTGGTATGATGAGGTGATGCTTGAGAAATAGATGTCTCGAGTCCTTTTTGGAACCCTATCAAGAGCATTCATTAGATCTTGAAGTAAAAATACTGTATTATTAGATAGCTTTCATTTTGATATTTTTAAAGAAGGGCCTTAAAGCACATTTTCAGACAGATGGATGCTTAAATGGAAAGCTGTCTCAACATGACACTGTCCAAAGCTCTCTCTGTCCGTCCGTCCCCCAGTTTAATAATGTGGCTAATTTGTGATTCTTTGGGAGTCAGCTGGAGCTTTACACTGTGTGAAGAGATTGTAATGTTGATTTCACCTAAAGAAACACACTAAAAAGCAGAGGCTATTTCAGCACTAGCAGCATAGGAAGTTATCCAGGCAAACATGACCACCATTCATCACAATCAAGTCCCTCTCTATAAAACACAGACACGGCTGTGTACAACACTTAAGGTGCAGGTGAAACAGATTTGCACCAAAGCAGCTCTCCTAGTTAGCTAGCTTTAAGCCAATGTCTTTAGTTGCTATAGCTGAAAACAAAAATGGGGAATAACAACTTTAGTACAACTGGTAAAACATATCAAAATCTCATGATGAATCCTGTTCAAGTTAGACCCCTGTTACTGAAAGTCAGTCAATGGGACCTAACTGATGTAAGCTTTGCTAATTATTTCACTGCTGAGCGTTTATGGATAAAAAAAATGCAAACATTGTTACGATGATCAATTACAATCTACTCTTCATCAATGCTGGGATGACTAGAGATCCAGTTTGTGAAGTTCAAAATCTGCAGAGGCCTGTGGGTTCCTCTTCTTGGTGTGATGCCAGAATTCAATGCTATCTTGGGGTATGATATTGATAGTTCAAGAAGAGTGAACTGAATTCAAAAGGTGCCTATCTTGTGACCATTTGTTCTTATATAAATTATATATAACAGAACTATCATAAGCATAGGAAGCTGACTAAACTGACACCAGCTTAAGTTAAACTTGCATTTGTTGTTGTTGTTTAGTTGTTTAGTCGTGTCCAACTCTTCGTGACCCCATGGACCAGAGCACGCCAGGCACTCCTGTCTTCCACTGCCTCCCGCAGTTTGGTTAAACTTGCATAAATTACCCCAATTCCAAACTCTGTTCGGCAGTGCTACTACTCACTGAGCTGGCCTAAGCCTCGAAGAGGAAAAAACAAGTCATAAAAAGAGTGTTTGAATTGCACCTCCCTTTTTGCCAGCATAAGATCTGCCAGGTCGTGTGATCAAGCTAAACAGTTAGGATCCTTCATATGTCTCCCCTGCCTGGCAGCACCCTCACCAATCCCCATTTTTCAGGGCTTATGTCAGTGTAAAAACATGGTTCAGTCAGCTGAGCCCCAGCTGAAGGAATTATGCCAGCGTGTCTCCAGCTAAGCTTGGATGTGGTGCTTACACTGGGAGAGCAACTGAATCCTAACTCACCCATCCCAGTAGATCCTAGGTTTTGATTGCTCCCCAAGTCCTTAGCCCAATAATGTTGTCTGTGAACAATTGCGGTGCTTACCTGTAGCTGTTCCACAGTTTCTTTATGAGCTCTCTCCATGCTGTTCATCTTTGTTCTCAAGTTGGACTCTTGGTACTGAAAGTCGGCCTTCAGCTCTGTCAACTAGGAAAAAGAATGGAGATCTTTAAAATACTGTTCCAGGCCTCCTTTAAAGATAACCCTCACGTCAACAAGATAGATTCCTGGTGTCTGTCAGATGAACTTTTTAAAAGACAAAAAAGCAATTTCTTCCACTGATTTGAAGACAAGTAATGAAAACAATGCATAGCATTAAATATTATATCTGCACAAACAAAGCAAGCCGAGTATATCCGTAAGACAGAATGTTGTCTAAACATTTTTACTTGGCATAGTCCAGGTTATTGTCCTTACATACACAGTTAAGAAAAAATAAATAAACCATACAGCAGTTATTCCCAGATGTGCAAGTAAGAGATCACCTCCTTCACAACACACTTGTAAGCCAGGCACTACACTTCTCTCTTGGGAAGAGAGCAAAATACAATGAAGCTGTGTGGCAGTTAAGATGCCCCCAAATGGTGGAAACTATGGATTTGGAGTGTAAACTCCAACCTACCTCTCAACGAACGCAAGCTCAATATGGGGAAAGGATTGAGAGAGAAGGACTTCCAAAGCATCCAGAGTAACCCATATAAACTACAAATATGTTACAATGTATCAGGTGTACTTGGGAAACTATTACCTCTGGCTAATACCACAACGGCTCACCCTCCCTTTCCCCCAAAAGCAATTGTTTGATGGGCAGAAATGATGAGGATACAGCATTATGTGTGCGGGTTTAGCTTATTATTATTATTATTATTATTAATTATTATTAATTGAATTTATATACTGTCCTATAACCTGGAGGCCTCAACTACTCCTACCCTTTCTCAGCATCAAACCTTAGCCAGGGTAGGTTCTGGCCAGCTGGGGAGGAGGGCATACTGTGGAGGAAGAAGATAAAATTGGCCCCTTGTGGACAAAAAAGTTCATCTAAATATAATTACTTCGAGTAACATATGACCAAAATGCATTCCAAATGAACTCTGGGTTTGGGTTGCTTAATTCATATTTGTAATGCTTATTTCATTTGGAACTAGAACATTTACAAAATAGCTACTTGTGAGTTGAGGCTTTTACCTTTTTATCTTTTTCCAGAATTGTTTGATCTCTTTGCTGCAAGAGGCGTTTCAGTGACATCACTTCTTCTTTCAGCTGACTAATGAGGACAAAGTTGTCAGTACCTCCGCTGTCTGCTGACTGATTTATAGAACTACTGTAAAACAAAAAGTGTGGGCTGTGATTAAATGAGGGGGGGAAACTGTATGTATTTGAATCAGTTTCACAAACGTCCTAATGGGGAAAAAAGTACTTGACAGAAATAGATGAAACTAGCAAATTAGCTTACTAATGGCAAACATTATCAATACCTGCAGAAATATAATTAATCATTAGCTTCTGACTTTCTAAATGAAGCAGCCTTTTACACAAATTCCAACTGTTTGTCAGAGACTGTTGTATACAATCTCTCTCACCTAACAAAATGCACATGGAACAAAGCTTGTCAGTAAGAACCAAATCAAAGCAGGTTTATAGCTACAAATAACTGAACTGTTGCTCCTAGATGCACTGCATGTTGGGCTGTTTTCCTTCTGCTATATTTTAGTTGATTACCCCCAAAACCTCCAGAATAAGGAGTGTAGAGCCATCATTTTCCACTAAAGTTTACACCAAGGCATATGGCCAAAATATGAAGTCATGTTGACTTTTTCAGAATAAAATGAAAAAGAAAAGGAAAACGAACAATAATTTCAATGGGAAAAACTGTAAGGAAGGCCATATTTTTACCTATCTCCATTAGATGGCTTGGATTCCATTTTGGGCTTTTTCTTTGGAGTTTCATTCTGAGTAGCTGCAGAGGATTTATGGCTGAAAAGACGCCAACACAATCTGTATGACTTATACATCTACATTTACACAAAACAGCATGTACATAGATTTCTAAATAATTTGACAAAGTAAGGAACAGGCTGGACTTACAAATTGTTCATTTTTTTTTAATAGTCAACATTTACCTCTGTTTCCACAATCCCTGATCTTGCTCTGGACTCAGACTGCTGATTCTGAAATGCAGAATGTGCAATAGGCTTAAGAATGGCCACCTCAATCATGGTTTGAAAAAAGGGGGGGGAAGCAAAAGCCCTATTTTACGTACGGCTACCAGTTCTGAATATTCTTCAGAGGTAGCCACATATATAATAGCACACTGCAATCCTATATGGATGCAACCAAAGCTTGCCTAACAAAGGGCAAACCTGTATTTTCCAGGGAAGACTGCAAGCAGAACTCCAGGCACAGCTATGCAAAAGTACTGCTGGCCACAATCACTTGACCTTCCAAGAGCAGCGGCAGGTCTACAAGTACTCCCATGAATCTGGTCTTTTAGTTACTTCTGTCTTGTCTGGATTAATTATCATACTCTGATGTGCTGGATGTGGATTAACAACCTCCTCACTGTCTTTGAGGAATCAGAAGGAGAGTTGGGATGGCACCCATACACTGATGGCACCATACTTCACTCATCCAGATAACCTTTTCAAGCAGTTTCATGAAGCTAAAGAATAGCATGGAGACTCCCCAGACCAAAGGAAGTACACTAATTTCCCAAAAGCTTTTGAACAGGAACATTTTCTGAAACCCTAAATCAGGGAAGGCTAACCCCTGATCTGGTCCCAAACAAATTTGTTTGCCACTACCCCCTCCGATTTTAATGGCGCAACAAAAATAAAAACACTGACACGGTCACTGCACTGTGGTGATGCAAATCACCTTCTCCCTGGTCATGAGACTGCTCATCTGACAAGCAGAGAGAGGGTGATTAGCTGGAAGTGGGGGGCTGAAGCCAAGAAGGTCTAAGTCTGGGTCAGTGCCTGGATGGAAGACTTCCTGGAAAACTAGGTACACTACCTGAAGTTTCACAATAAGATACAAGTATAATAAAATAATAAATAAAATACTGATGGTATTGAAAGCAGCTGATGTACAGCAGAATGAAAATGGAAGCCGCTGGGCAACGTCTATTAGCACAATGAGCTAGCATTTTCATTTTCTCATGACAAGTGAAATCTCTCTTCAACCACAATGTATCTTATTTGGAATGTGCAGAGACTGGATGGCCATCTGTCATGGATGCTTTAGCTGATATTGCTGCACTGCAGGAGGCTGGACTAAGTGAACCTTGGAGTCCTTTCCAATTCTACACTTCTATGATTCTGGTGCATTTATGCATCTCTTCTTCATTCAGAAAGGGGCCATGCCTAGCTATGTGTATTAGCAACAGCATTAGAAGTGAGAGTTCAGCTTGCAACTCAAATGTTTCTAAACTGTTACTGTTTCATATAGGTTTTGTGTTCTACAAAAACAACACATACACCCAGCTATACACATACGGTCTCTAAAAGTTATGGCAGGATGTTGCGCAATCGGAAATGTGACTTTCTTTCAATAACAGGCCCTGTTATTTTGAAACCTCTCTTAGGTTTGCAAAACAATTTGCTATGTGGGAAGCTTCTTTTTCAAGAAAACAAACCCAAAGCTCCCTTGGACAATTGGAACCAGTTGGGCAGATCCTTGGATCCTAGCCTATATAAAGAAACATTCTTACACCCAAGTCCCTATCTGCCATCCCACACTTTCAACCTAAGGAAATATTAATAGCAGAAATAAGTTTTAAGTGCAATAGATTAAATCTACCAATTTAGCAGCAAAATTTTTACTGTATCTTGATTTAGTTTCAGAGAATACAGGTACGGCCTCTATTCCACAAGTTTCACAAAACTTACTTGTGATGGCCGCTGCTGTGACGGTGGTGGTGATGGCGATGGCGCTGGTGTTTCAAATGATGCTGGTCTTTTTCAGTAAGTGATGCGGAGGAGGAATTAGAATGTGAAGACCCTAAGCTCTTCCGCTGTTCCTTGGTCTTCTGCAGTACTCTCTTGTAGGACAGCGTACAGAGCCAACACAACAGCTTCCCATCAACCTTTTGGGAAATCATTCGCAGCAAGTTATGTTACACGTACTCAGTGCTAAAAAGACATACAACAGCCAAAATAAAATTATCAAATACTTCTGCTGTCATTCTTTTTGCACACATCTTAATACAAACAAATTAAAAATGCATAGTACAGAACAGCAGCATGTAAAATTAAACATACCGGACATTCTGCTGAAAACTGGGTGAAAAATATTGCAACCTATTTCCTTTAGGTGAGCACACCTGTCAAGATATAAAAGGCCTCTTCCATGGACAGAAGGGCTCTTGATCCAGCAGAGGCCCCACTAAAGGAAGGGAAAAGAACATTTTTGCAAAAACTCCCATAACCTTTATCAAGCAGAGCCGTGTCCCACACTATTCTCAAGGTTTCTATTTTCAGAAGCTGGAAGGGAAAGAGGAATCTGTAAAAATTGCCTTGCCTCTTCCGTTAAGAGTGTCAGGAGTGAAACCCCTCTCAAGGGGTATTAGGATCCAACACATAATCATTTCATACTCAAGTGGTAGACCTACTGAAATCAATGAACTTTCAATGGATCTATCTAGACTATAACTGACATTGGATGTATCTCCCCTGTATCATTTTGTCTTTCAGCCAATTTCCAGGATACCCCACAGCTCTCCTCAGACTTGGCCAATGATTTATCTAGGATCCACCATCCCAACTGGTTGCCAGCTAGCATCTTGGAAGAAAAGGTTCTCAGTAGGCTTTATCCAAGAGTCTACTCTAAACTCTAATATATGAATACTCATTATACTGTAATAAAATAAATGCAATCTAAAAGACCACTTGCAGCAACAATGGGGTACAGTGGTACCTCGCAAGACGAATGCCTCGCAAGACGGAAAACTCGCAAAACGAAAGGGTTTTTGGTTTTTTGAGTTGCTCCGCAAGACGATTTTCCCTATGGGCTTGCTTCGCAAGACGGAAACGTCTTGCAAGTTTGTTTCCTTTTTCTTAAAACCGTTAATACAGTTGCGACTTGACTTCGAGGAGCAACTCATAGCACGTGGTGTGGTAGCCTTTTTGAGGTTTTTGAAGACTTTGGTGATTTTTGAAGCTTTTCCAAAACTTTTCCGACACCGTGCTTCGCAAGACGAAAAAAACCGCAAGATGAAAAAACTCGCGGAACCAATTAATTTCGTCTTGCGAGGCACCACTGTATTGTCCGAATATGGATGACAAGCAACCATGCTGAAATAGCTAGGTCTGAGACTGGTCAGTGCCTAAGCTGGGAGACTGTCTGATAATCTACAAAAGATTACGAAAGAATGGTGAAATAAAAATGATAATATATTATATTCCATCAATAACAACTGGGCAGACTAGATGCCAGTGTTTTATAGCCTCTGAAAACAACTATCAAAAGGCATACTTTCAATTATCTTGTTTACTGTTTTGTGAGTTCGAATATTTTCATGGATCAGCAGTCAAGTGATGCTATATAAACTGATAACTGAAGAGTAATACAAATACATAATACAAATTCTATTTCTCCATAATTATTTGGAAGCCTTCACTTAAAACTGACTAAAGGTTTCTTCTAGCACACCTCATGCCAGAGGTGCAGGTAGCATCCAGTTACATGACTTAAGTAAACATGGACCCTAGGTAAGTGTGCCTGGAACCCCTGGACTCTCACACTGCTCAAATTCTGAGACCAACACTGGTGTCAGAAGTGGGATCTGTGTTTCCTGGAGGAAAGGCTCATGAGCAAAGTATGCCTGAGTTGGGGGACCCCATTCTCCACATGTGGTTTACAGTTTCAGGGATCAATGAACAGCACTCTGATAGACCATTAGTGCTATAGTGATGTTGGGAAATCTTAGCAAGTTAAAACTTTGGCTCATGCCTAAGAAGAGCATTGTGGGAGAGCCAAACACTGGGGAATGTGTGTCTGCTTCTTTAAATGCAGACTTGGTGTCTTTGGGAGTGTGAATAAGTTATCTTCTCCAGCTGCAGAAGGGAGGCTCATAGTTGATTTGTAGTCTTGACACCTGGCTATCTGAGATGCCGTTTCTGTGTGAACAAGGTCATCGAGCCTTATTACAACAAAAAGGGGAATCTGGTGTGTGTCTGAGAATAAGGGAGGATGCCCTTTTGTTTTCAAGGTCTTGGGATAAACAGGATTCAGCTGCCAATTCCCCTAACAAGTTTGAGTTATCGTCCTTCTATGTAACCATTGGCGAATTGCTAATTAATCTAAAGAACCGATTGGCCTTTGAGTTTGGGATTCACGCAGGTTCAAAGGGGATAAAACCTTAGGAATCCGACTTGCAATTCGCAGCCGCCTCACCTAACCTACTTTGCCATGTGAGACCACTGTCATGCAGAGGGGGCCTGCCCTGATGCCGGTTCTCGTTGTGAGTGTGTTCTGTAGTTAGCTACACTAAACAATGCTTTTATTGTCTGTTTGGGATTTGTAAGAGATGTGCAAACTTTTATGTTTGAATAATCTTGTTTTTTAATAAATTCTGGAAAAAGGACTTTTTCCTGTTTCTGTCTTTTGTGCCTTTCTGTCGGGGAAGCTAAACCAGCACCTGACCACTTAGTCGCCTACCTGAACCTGTTGGATTTCTGTCTGTGCCATGGTAAAGCGACGCAGGGTGGGGCAGCCCAGTAATGCTGAAGAGTAATCTCCTTCCTTAGGTTACTTTTCTGGGCTGTTCTAAGATAAGGAAGTGGTGGCAGCAACTACTGTTTGTTTGGTTTGTGTTCTGAAAACGCTTCTGTGCACCCCTCTCTCTCTCTCAGCTGGGTCTTGCCGGACAAGTAGGGCAGGTTGGGGAGTGCGCACAAATGCTACAAGTGCGATTCAAAATACAACAATACGATGTTGTTCATCATCCAGTTACCACTTTGAGACCAAGTATGAGTAGCAGCAAGACAAAGCTATACCTTTCTTCTTCCTTCCTCTTTGCGATCAAAAGCACATTGCTGCTTGCATTGTTCACATGTTTGAGGGGGTCCATATTTCTTCTCAGAGTTTGTGCAGCGCTGACATTTTGTGCCAATAAACGCTGCAATGATGTTACAGTATTGGCAAGGTTTCGGCTGAAGAAAAAGAACAACAAATTAAGAATGCCATTCCTTGTTTCAATATGTCAACATTTTATGCAAAAATGACTTAGAGTCACTGAAGAAAAAGTAAAACTGCTTTTATACAAGCTCATTTAGACAGACTTCACTTAGTAGTTACATGCTTGAAACTATGTCACATTTTATTAACTGGTTCAAAGTTTCTTTAAACTTTCCTGATGTAAGCTGTGGGGAAAACATTATTTTGCTAACTGAAATTTGTTTCTTTTTATTTAGGAAAATGTATAAACTGCTTAATAAAAAAAAATCAGTAATACAGAGCATTTCCGTTATAATTATGGAACTGCAGCTATGGAGTCAATGTATTTTCATGGTGAATTAGGCTATCAATTGCTATTAAGCACAATGACTGGGCTCTGCCTCTATGGTCAGAGGCAGAATGCTTCCGAATACTAGTTGCTGAACACTGCAAGAGGGGAGAGTACTCTTGTGCTCAGTTCCTGCTTGTGGGCTTTCCACAGGCATCTGGTTGGCTTTTGTGAGGACACTGGAGAAGATGGGTCACTGTCCTGATCCAATAGGCTCTTCTTGTGTGGACCCTTCTCCTACAGTGAAAGTAAGCAATCTCTAGACTATCCAAAAAGGCTATTACAGCCAGCTGCTTAAAGATACATTGGAGGCTGCAAAGTGCATCTTCCTGGCTGCCCATACTGCCACATGGTAGGTACAATTATGTGTCATAACCAGTGTTCAGTCAACCTTAGAGCAAGACCTGCGCTCAAGTCTGGTTTTCTTCACAGCCTGTAGCTCTCAAGAATACCGGGGTTCCACTCTTCAGCACGTACGTATTTAAAACTTTATGCAAAGGCAACTTCAACCAGTGTGGAATAAAATGTCATAGTTGTTATTTTCTTAAATCCAAATTTGAATAAGTCTCTGTAGGCCTGACTATGAATTTAGCAGCCCAGTCACAAAAAAGATCCAGAATTAACTCACCGTTCCAAATTGCTTTACATTTTGGGCACACTTCTTGCATATTGTGTTGGTTTTGCTAAAAGAAAAGGAAATAAAATCCAGTTTTTCAAATACTTAGTTACACAGGAGAAGTACCCATATTCAGGACAGGCCCTTAAAAGCCAGTGTGGTGTAGGGGTTAAGAGCGGTAGACTTGTCATCTGGTGATCCAGGTTTGTGTCTCCGCTCCTCCACATGCAGCTGCTGGGTGACCTTGGGCTAGTCACACTTCTTTGAAGTCTCTCAGCCCCACTCACTTCACAGAGTGTTTGTTGTGGGGGAGGAAGGGAAAGGAGAATGTTAGCCGCTTTGAGACTCCTTTGGGTAATGATAAAGTGGGATATCAAATCCAAACTCTTCTTCTAAAAGAACTCTAGTTCTCCAAAAAGGTGGCACAAGTTGCTCACCAGAGGCTCTTCTTTATTCTGCCTTGCTCTTTTGCCTCCTTCATGGGACCAGGGTAGGCAGACAACATTTTCCCCAATACGTGGGTGACTTTTAGCCATATAATTCAAGGTAAACTGCATGTGGAATTTGACTGACCAGCATTACATTTATGGGGCATATAGCAGTTTTCAAGTAATAGCTGATAGTTTACAAGTGTGAAATAACATGAAAAAGACTTACCTCTCTTGTTGAAACTCTGATCGACAGTAAGTACATTTTACCATGGGATGTGCAATGCGACATTCCTAGACAAAAAAAAGTCAAAATTGTTTTACTATAGAGAAACTACTGACACAATAAATTCATCTCATTTTATCTTATTTGCTCTGTAGACATTCCATGGTGCTCCCATGTATAAGTTACAGTTGTTCCAAGTCACTTTGGCTTTCCATATGTGGCTGCAAACTACAGGGCAAGAGAATTCCTGATCTGACTTATTATACAGTCTATGTCACCATCATAAGATTGCAATATAAAGTGCTTTATTGCTTGATTATAAGCTGGGTTTAAGAGATGGAATTTAAGATAACTAATTAAAAACCCACTGACTGTTAATGCTGCAAAACTAAGTATCTTTACCGTGGACTCCTGCAAGTAGAATCTGTCACATAGCTGCTGTAACAAGCAATGATCTATGAGTACTTTGATTGCCTATGAAAGCTTGTGCCACAAGACTAGCTAGCTCCCAGAGTATTATAGCCTGTTTTAAAAAGAAAACCAAAACAGGTGTTTCTTCATTACAGCAAGCAAGGGATGAAGTAACACATTTAGGTGTGTTTTTTAATGTGTGACAAAGATGTAATGAATCAGTGATGGAAAACATGAGACCCTCCAGATGCTATTAAGTCTCCAGGTACCATGGACAGAAACTATGGGAATTACAGCCCAACCATAATTTGGAGGGCTGCAGGTTCTGCCCTGTTCAAAACGAACAAGTCAAAATGTAAAAGTCATCAAAATTTTCCAATATGTATAATAAATTCAGGACAGAACTACCCTGAGGAGGGATTGCCACTGAAAATAGTAAACCCCATCCCATCACCATGTAGTGAAAGCTGTATACTGTCTGACAGTGGGAGGGAAATCCACTATGGTTCAGAATGGGGTTAGAGCAAATGCAAAATATGATGACATGATATAGAGGGAAGAATCTCATAGTGATGACATTCTGGGTGGTACCATCATGCCAGGCATAACAAATGGGCCACAACACCTACACCACAGGGCAGTTTGGGTAGCAGACTGGCACCTCCCACTGAGTAATCTGAAAAGAACTGATCACCCTGGAATTAGTCACTAAGGCTGAAATCATATAGGCACATGGAGAGCAAGTATCACTGAACTCAAATGAGACTAACTTTTGGGGCTGACACATATATAATCTCTCGTCATCCCTTTGTAACCCTGAAAACGAGGCCTGTTTTGCGACTGATCTATGTCACCTTCTCTGAACATATAGAGCGCCTGCTGGGACAAGCCAGTTGCCCATCCAGGCCAGCATATTGTTCTCACAGTGGCCAACAAGGTGTCTGTGGGAAGCTAGGCAATCAGGATCCAAGCGCAAGAGCACCTGACCTATCCTCAACTTGTACTCAGAAGAACTGCTGCTGCCTCCAACTGTGGAACCACAGGATAGCCATCATGGCTGGTAGCCTTCAATAGTGCTCTCCTCTTCTGAAGTCATGCAAGTTGGTGGTCATCACTGTCTCCCTGAGGAAGAGAGCCCCATAATTTTAACTATGTGCTACATGGAAGAGAAGTGCTTCCTGTTATCCCTCCTGAGCTTTCCAATGTTCAGCTTCACCAGATGCCAGCAGGGACGTTTCCTTCGCTTAAAAAAGTGCAGAATAAATGTTCCAAGTGAAAAAGAAACCACACAGCAGCTTATCAGGAGCGTTGTGTCCTTGAAGCTAAACCCTTCCCTTGCCTTCACTCCTCTGCTTGGTCAGCCCCCTCGCAATTCCAAGGCCGCGGCTTCGTTAACTACAAACCCCGAAATCTCCGACCCACCCCAAAACTTTCCTAGGGTTTTTGTAGACGTTTTGTGGGGTCAAAATGCAGGGTTTCCCCTTACAATACCCTATGAACGGTTTAGAGGGGGGTCTCAAATTTAGGGGTTCCGAGTTAGTTGTTGGGGGGGGGGAAGAAACTACAAAACGCAGGATTTGCACTTCTAGGCTCTACAGAACTTTGGGGGGTCTCAAATTTAGGGGTTCCGAGTTAGTTGTTGTTGGGGGGGGAGAGAAAGAACCTACAAAACCAGGATTTGCACTTCTAGGCTCTACAGAACTTTGGAGTGGATGGGACGTTGGTTCTCTGGGTGTTAACAGCGACTCCCCGTTTGATGTATCACTTACTGAGTTTGGGAGCCCCACTAAAAGCTTTAGAGGGGCCCCGAGATTTCGGGGTTAACGAAGCTCCAGGCCGCCCCGTCCCTTCAAACCCCTTCAGCCCCGGAAACGGGCGCGTCTCGCCGAACAGCCGGATATCCTCTGGCCGCCCGCCCTGCCCTGCCGTTCCCACCCCACGCAGCCGCCCTTCCCTCCCTCGGCGTCGCCTCCCGGCCTACCCCCGCAGCCCCCGGGGAGCGGCACCTTGCAGAGCTGCTGTCCCTGGGAGAGCTCCTCGAACGGGTAGCGCTGGTTGCACTTGGTGCAGGCGTAGAGAGCCGGGGCGGCGGCGACGGCGGCGACGGACCCACCTCCACCACCGACGACGGCCGCTGCTGCCGCCACCCCGGAGGCCCCGGATGTTGCCGCCATCCGCCTTCCCTTCACAGCGCCGAAGGAGCCGGGAAGGAACCAACCACCGGCCGGAGGGCGGGCGGGCAAGAGCGAACGAACGACTGAGAGAGAAAGAGAGAGGAGAGATTCTCCCCTCCCCCGCGCGCGCCTGATGGTTCCTTCGGCTCCTCCGCCGCCGCTTCTTCCTCCACTTAGGCCCGCTTTCCTCCTTGTGTCGGCATCCGCGTCAAGAGGCCCTTCCGTTCCCCCCTCCTCCTCCTCTTCCTTTCTCCTCACGCAAACAGAGGCCGAGCGCGAGCCAGGGAGCAAACCGACGGAGCGCGAGCCTCGGCGCCCTCGGCCAATCAGCGCGGCGCGGCAAGGCCGCCTTCAAACCTCGCCGCCCAATGAGGAGGCGGGGGAAGCCGCGCGACGTCCCTCATCCGCTCCCCACGCCCGCCGTGCTTGCGTCACGATTTATAAGACCAGACCAATTAGAAAAATAAAATAAGGCGGAACCCGCTCTCCGCCGCCGCCTCTCATTGGCCGGGCGCCGGTGCCCTTTTTTCCATACGAAAGTCGCAGCAATAACCGCCTTCGCTAGGTTGCGCCTGCGCAGAAGGGACATAAGAGCAGTTCGCTTCCTTCCTCCTACTGCTACCCTCCGAAAGCTCCACAAAACAAATCCGGAGCGTAGCTTCGCCGTGGCTTCTGATTCGCTCGCTCTTGAAACCCCAAGGCGATAATAAGGAAATAAATCCGAGCGCCTGCTGTGGCTGCTTCCCACCCTACTTCTTCTTTCTCAACTCTGATTGGTTAATCCGGGCGTCCATCACCGCCGCGGCTCTGTGACGCAAGCGCGCAGTAAAAGGCAACGCGGGAGGGGCGGGGACATGTTGCTCTTGGGCGGGGCGAGGCTCGGTTCCGTTGGCTGCTTCACATGCCACTCAACAGAGTGGCCTTGTTGGCGCGGCCTCGGTGTTTGTGGGGCAGCTGGAGGAGGCGGGAGGTGGCAGTAGCCTCCGCTCTCCGGGCCCCGCTGGCCTTAAAGGGACAGGCGCCCTCCGCGGGCGCCGTTTTGCGACATGGCGGTGGCGGGGGACCTAGAGAACACGGTGAGCCCGGAGGAGAGCGGCAGGCCCTGAAACCACCTCCGGTTTCCCTTACGTCCGCGCGGGGGGGGGGGGGGAAGCGGAGATGAAGGCGCTCTGTACATGCGCAGGGGCACGCTCGCCCGTGAGGGTGAACTTCGCGGATCCTCGGCGCTGGCACAGTGTAAGGAGGGATCTCCAAGCGAGCCCATCTTCGCACCCAGAGCACTTTCAGCTCTCAACGGCATTCATTTTGTTGCATTTGTAGCCCGCCTTTCTCCCCGCGAGCTCAAGGCGGCGGGCGAGTTTCTCTTCCTCCCCGTTTTATTCCCGCAACAACCCCGTGAGGTAGGGTGGGCTGAGAGAGAAAGTGTAAGGCCACCCAAGGGAGTGATTTAAACCCTGGTCGCAATATTTGACAGAGGTCAATAGTCGGGGCTCTGCAGGGCATTAAGCACCCACTTCCAGGCCTGGTATTTGAGATCTTTCCCCACCATAACTGGGTATACTGTAGTGGGACACTGTACTGGACACCTTCACCTTCAGAAGGTCCCTTGCTCTCTAACACTGAACTTTTGCCTTTCCGCAGCTTCTTCCACAGCATCTCACATCGCATTTTGGATATCTTCCAAGTTCTCTCCATCACACTTTGCACTTAGCTTCCTGCGTGCTCAGAAGCCCTCACTGTTCGTTTTAGATGGTCCACCCATCGCATAGGTGCTCATAGAATTGTAGAGATGGGTTATCTGGTCCAACCCCCTGCAATGCAGGAATCCTGCATTCTGGTTAACAGCATTGACCCGTTGCACCACAGAGGGCCATCCCCTAGTCTTTCAAAATCGCAGGCTGATGCTGCTTTACTCTCCCATCATGTCTTTTCCAAATGCCCTACAAATGTCCCTAAGAACATAGAAAGAATCTGCTGGGTCTGGCCAGCGGCCCTTATAAATGTAAGGAACCGCAGAAAGAGGGAGGAGGGAGTCGAAATAGAAAATGTTAAAACTACAGTATGGTTAAACTATGGTTACCTCTGGGTATAAGGTGGTATATAAATTCAATGAATGAATTAATTAAAAATTAAAAGAAAAAGGCCAGTGGCTCATTTAGTTCAGCATCTTCTTATCACAGTCGGCAACCGGATAGATGTCTGTGGGATACCAGTGAGCAGAACAAGAGTGTTTTCATCTCCTGTGGTTTCCAGTAATTAGAATTCAGGGCCACACCTGTTTTATTCTTGCAGTCAGTCTGGCTCAGAGTGACTGCAACTCCTATCCATAGCTGTCAATTTTTCCCTTTTCTTGCGAGGAGTCCTATTCGGAATAAGGGAATTTCCCTTTAAAAAAGGGAAACGTTGATAGCTATGCTCCTATCAGCCTTAACCTTGGGCCATGCTATGTTGTGTCCGATGGAAACTGGAGTCCAACAACATCTGGAGAGCCACAAGTTAGCCACTGTAGCTTTTCTAAGTAAGTGTTCATAGGGTTGGCCCATGGATCCATGCTCTAAATATATTAGCTGAGAGCTATGCTCCCTTTGATTCCTTTCTGGAATCTCTAAGATTGTAGGGTCAGACTACTAAAAATCCTCAGCCTCCTACCTCTTTCTTTGTATTGTCTGCTTGCTTTCAGGGATTCACTTGAGTGCTTTTGCAGAATGAATAATTCTGATTAGTTTCTCTCATCTACCCCCTGTCTTTTAAGTCTCCAGTTTCGTATTCCAGGAGAGAAGCTTGGTGACAGTGTTGCATAGGGACCAGCTGAGCAACATACGGAAACTAAGCATTTATCACTTAAACTGGACTCAGGTTATGGACAATAAGCCATAAAAGATGCATGTGCTGCCCTCTGCCATGTGGCTTAAGCCATTCACTGAAGGTGTGTAGGAGGCAGGCAAAGGGGTTGAAAAATAGCTACAGTGAAAGCGTGATCATGGCAGCTCAATTGTAGCCATGCCCAATTTGACTGTTAATGTTTAATTGCAATCATACTTGCAAATGAGACTAAGAGGGGCTTCGTAGCCGTTCACTACCTACTTTTTGTAACTCTTCTGTGCTTGATCATCTAGACTAGACACTTATTTATCAGAGGCGATCAGATTTGGCCACCTACAAGCCAACGTGGAATCAATCTGAAGTTGTTTGGACACTTCTGAACAGGCAGGACTGAGGGACACAGTCATAGCATGGGTCAAGTTTGTTGACTGCATTTCCCCCGTCACCGGGGAACTCAGGATAATGTTCCTGGCCAGCTCTTATCTCTGCTATCTTGCCTTTCCTCCAAGGAGCTCAAAATTCTATAATCTCCCTCTAATATCCTGCAAAATCCACTTAGTAGGAAAGTAAGTTCTGTTGAACTTGGTGGCACTTCAGTCAAAGTAAACTTGAATAGAGTTGAAGTGCAAGTTTCCTGGATAGCTCAGTTGGTTAGAGCGTGGTGCGGGTAGCGCCAAGGTTGCAGGTTCGATTCCCGTAAGGGACACCTGCACAATCCTGCATTGCAAGGGTTTGACTAGGTGGTCCTCTGGGTCCCTTCCAACTCTATGATTCTAAATATTCTCCATGACCCTAGTCTGCCACTGAAACCACTGTGCCACACTTGCTTGGTGTTTTCTGTCATGCTGCTCCTGTTGGCTATGTGGTGAACTTAGGTTTTCCTAAAGACCTACTTCTTCGTCAAAGGCTTTTTGGACGCTCATTCTAATTGCACTCTGAAAACTCAAATTGGTCTTTCTGGACTGATGAGGCACCCTCTGTGTCTATCAGACAGCTCAACTGACCATCTCCACCTCTTTCCAGGGTGCCGCTTTCCTTACAAGTCACAGGACCTCATCCTTCACAGATGGGCTTTCAGCAGCATCGTTTACGGAGTACCCTAGGCACAAACCTTTCATTAACGCTGACTTGCGACGACCACCTGCCAAGCCAGTCATTGCATATCCAGAGAGTAACAGCAGAGGTAACGATTTGACTTGGAGGAATTGGGGGTAGCGTTGGGAATAAGTTTGCGGTTTGTTTGTATGTCTGTCTGGAAGGTTCACAACCCTCGAATCAGTGTGAAAGCACTACCCTTGTTGAGGGAGTGGGATGCCCGTGTGTGTGTTTTTTTAAAATGACTTTTATGAAATCTTATCAGCTGATCTGAAGAAAACTAAAAGGTGGGTTGTTTTAAAATGCGGTGGCTTCGTAAAAACACTGTCCTTGTGGGTTTTTAAGAACCAGTTGACAATGGGTTGCTTTCTCCCCTAGGCTTATTCTTGACCCTTCTTTCCTATGCAATCCTTGCTTTCCAACTTCCTAATGCCAAGGAAAGCAGCATCTTTGGGTTACTTCAACCAGTAAACCATATCTTCTTTCAATGTGACTTTGGGAGGCCTTGCTCCATGTTCCCCACCCCCCCTCTGAAGTGAAGCATGTGGATATTGTGGAGCAAGCCCTTTTCTGGAGCAGAGCTCTCTCTGGAATGGTTTGCGGAAAGAGATTTGTCAGGCCTGCTTGTTTGTCATTTCTGCTCGCTTGTGAAGATTTCTGGGAGTCCTACATGAATCTGCTGTTGCATCTATATTAGGAATGGGGAATGTAAGGCCCAGAGACCAAACGCAAACCCGCAAACCATCAGGCCTTAATAATAAATAATAATAATAATAATACAGTAATAATAATAATTTATTTATACCCTGCCCATCTAGCTGGGTTTCCCCAGCCACTCTGGGTGGCTTCCAGCAGAATACTAAAATACAATGATTCATCAAATATTAAAAGCTTCCCTAAACAGGGCTGCCTTCAGATGTCTTCTAAAAGCCCAATAGTTGTTTATTACTTTGAAATTTGATGGGAGGAAACGCTACAGGGCGGGTGCCACTACTGAGAAGGCCCTCTGCCTGGTTCCCTGTAACTTTGTTTCTCACAGTGAGAGAACTGCCAGAAGGCCCTCGGCACTGGACCTGAGTGTCCGGGCAGAACGATGGGGGTGTAGATGCTTCTTCAGGTATACTGGGCTGAGGCCGTTTAGGGCTTTAAAGGTCAGCACCAACACTTTGAATTGTGCTCAGAAACATACTGGGAGCCAATGGAGGTCTTTCAGGACCGGTGTTATGTTGTCTTGGCGGCCACTTCCAGTCACCAGTCTAGCTGCTGCATTCTGGATCAATTGTAGTTTCTGGGTCACCTTCAAAGGTAGCGCACTGCAGTAGTCCAAGCATGAGATAACCAGAGCGTGCATCATTCTGGCAAGACAGTCCGTGGGCAGGTAGGGTCTTATGACCACTGGGACTCCCCTTGTCCAGGCCATATACTTACTGAGCCGCAGCCCACACATTCCCAGCTTTTCACCCTCCTTAAGTGCTTTTGACTGGCCAAGATGTGTCACTGTATTCTGATCATGCTTCTGGCTTGATTGGATGGAGGGCAGAGGGGTATGTGAGGGTAAAGAAACGAGGCTACAGTACAAAGGCAACCTTCATACTTATCACTCTTCCCATTTCTGTCTCTGGCTCAGACATAACAGCCTGTCCACTCATTTCTTACAGTTATGTGGGAATAGTCAAATCACAGGTTCCCTGACCTTGGGGAAGTAGGTGAAGATAGCATTTGAGAAACTCAGAGCTTAAAACTACCCTGTGCGATCTAAACTTCCTTTCCTTTTTTTTTTTTTAAAGAATAATTTTTTATTAACCGACCAATCACATCAAATCAAACCAAATTACATAAATTCCAAATTACACAGCCGAATTTTAAATTTTTGTTGGGGGTACCCATATTTCAAGTTCCAAAGGGATCCAATCAACTTCTTGCTTCTTACTGCTGTTTTAATGTCCACTGCCTTTCCTTTTTGAAGCGGTTGCTAGTTAAATGTGGTTTGTGTTGCCAAGGAGCTCCATTGGCTATTACAGAGAAGTGGGTCTGCTAATTATTGATGAGGCTTCCTTTCAGCTCCGCCAGATGTCAGAGCCTGGGGAACTGAATTCACACAGTGTTGGTAGCCTTCTGTTTTCCTCCTTGGCAGCAGAAGGTCCGTTTGCTCAAATATTTTCTCTGGGAATTATTTTATGGTGTTGATGCTGTATGTGTGGCTAGACGCTGACTCTCAAGTTCAGGGCCTGTACTGCTTCAAATGTGACTGGGATTTGGGAATGTGGAGTCCAGTTCCAGATACTTATACTTTAAAAAGCATAGAATATACACAGTGTTTCTAAAACTTGGGTCCCCAGCTGTTGTTGGACTACAATTCCCATCATCCTTGACCACTGGTTCTGCTAGCTAGGGATGATGGGAGTTGTAGTCCCACAACAGCTGGGGACCCAAGTTTGAGAAACATTGCCTTAACAAAAGTTCCGGGGAAGGAGCAATAGCAATATAATATCAGGGCGGTCTTGCTGAGGGCAAGCTTTAGTGCCAAAAGTTCCACGGTCACATTTCAAATGTAAGGCTGTGCCAATATCCACCCAAAAATTTCTTTCCTCTGTGAAAGCAGCTCTCCTCTTTTTCTGCCTCATTTTCAAAGTACTTTATCATTCCTTTAGAATTTGGGTGGGTGTTGTGTTTTGAGCTTACCTGGTTGCTGGAAGGTGGCCAAGGGTGGTATGTATGCTTTCCTTTCCAGTAACCATTTCTCCAGCACTCCTTAAGCCTCCCTCACTGCCCACACGTCCTGATTGACAAAAGCGCAATGGGAGGAGCCACCTTTAATTGGAGAGCGGACACCCAGGGAGGCTGCAGAGTGCAGAGTACTGGGGAGATGATTTGGAGAATGAAATAAGGGGTATTCATAAGCACCTCACAACCACCACACCAATCAGGTAAGCACAACGAAACACACCACACTATCTAAGATTCACAGAAAACTGGATTTTGTTGTAACTTCCATCAGATGTATAGCCTAGGAACAGCATATCCCATTTGGGCTTCAACAACCATCCTTGTGAAATAGGTTAGGGAGGGAGCTTGGGACTTGCTCAGGTCCACACACAGCTGAACAGTCTTTGAATGCAGCTTTCTGCAGTCTTAAATCCAACCCTGTATCTGCTGCATCACGCTAGCTCATTAATAGCGGGTTCTACCGTATTTTTTGCACCATAACACTCACTTTTTTCCTCCTAGAAAGTGCGTGTTATGGAGCGAATGCCTGCAGGTGGCTGGGGGGATCTGCTGCAGTCGTGAGCACAGGATCCATGGTTCCCCTTCCTTCCCTCCTCCGTGGTTACAATGCATGGATCCACATGGATCCTCAGGGTTTTTGCATTGGGTTACTCCAAACGCACTGTCAGATCACATGTCTGTGGCCACAGCATGAACCACAAAAATCATATATCCACTATTTTGTTTAGAATATTTTTTTTCTTGTTTTCCTCCTCTAAAAACTATGTGCGTGTTATGGTCTGGTGCGTGTTATAGAGCGAAAAATACGGTAATTCTATTTGTTGTTGTTGTTAGCAATATTCTCAGCTCTGAAGAACCTGCAAGAGAAAATACGGCGGCTGGAGCTGGAACGGATTCAAGCAGAGGAGAGTGTGAAATCTCTGGCCAAGGAAACCTCAGACTATAAGAAAGTGCTGGGCGAACAGCTGATGGAAAAAGAGCAGACAAAGTTTGAGGTGTCCAGGAAAAACGAAGGTGTGCAAATGTCTCTTTTTCTCAACTACAAATTAATAATCCTAGGGGTGTTTGGATGAGCCCCTTTAAGTTATTCAGTGAGGTCACTTCCCATGACCCAATGTGTAGGCTGTCCAAAGTGAAACACGCCCCCTGCAAATCTGTGCATCTGGACAGCATGTGAGCCTATCAGGATCCTCTATGCACCCTATGGCATGTGTGTAAGAGGGAGAAGCAAGAAGCAAAGGGGTAGAAGAAACAGGTTAATGTCCAAAAACTTACAGTCCAAAGCATTTTGGTGCATTGTAGAGGATTCTGGCAGTGGAAGTGTTTTCCAACGATCCAACTCCCAGTCTATCGGGGCCAGATGTATGCTATGTGATGCCTAAAGCTGAGGTGCTCTGAAAGAGGTGGGGGAAACCATTTATTTTTGCACATTGCCTTCTTCAGATCCAAAAAGATCATTATTCTGCAAGTAGCAGCTGTTCACTTAGAGTAAGGGTGGGCAGCCAAGTGCCATGGAGACCTTCTGGGCTATAAATTCCCATTGTCCTTGGCCAGCATAACCAATGGCCAGGGATGAAGAGAGGTGTAGCCCAGGACTTCTGAGGGGCACCAGGATGCCTAACCCAGCTCAGCATGCTGAGCTCATCCTACACAACCACACGGATGCACATTTGAGGGGAGGATCAGTTGTGATGAGCAAGCTGCCTTTCAGGGGAGCTTGCCTGCCGTTTGAGATCTCCTCTTTCAGGAGAAGCTTCCAAGGAATCCCGGATCACCCTAAAACACAGTTTGAAAACCCTTGTGTTGGAGAATCGGTGTTGTTAAGGCAAGGTTGAAGAGATAAATCCAGGAGCCTTTACTGTATTGGTAGCCTCATGGAATTAGAATGCACAGCCCAGTTCCAAAAAAAATTCCAGTTACCATGATACCTGATTGTTCTTACTTCTTGTGGAACTGACAGATGTCTTTGTATGGCTCCCATTGTCAGCGTACGGCTGAAGTTGGGAGTATGGCTGTGCTTCAGCTGCTGCTTGTTCTCCGCTCGCCTCTTCTGTGTTGAGGCACATCTTCAGGTGGTCTGAGTATCTCAGCTTTGGGCTCTGCATAGTATATATCTGACGCACGTACGTATGGCATCTTACCTGCCTCATTGGTGTTCAGATGAGTTCTTCCTCCACTCCATCTCTTGGGCCATTTAGAATTTTGAAGACCCTGTCCTTGCTCTATTGTAGGGCAGGGCAATATCTGCTTCCCAGCATCGTAATATACTGCCGATGTGGTGGTATATTATGACGTCAGAAAGGAGGCAGGGAGGAAGAAGGTAGTTGCTGGCCACGGAGACAATTGGCATCACTGTGTGCAGTTTCTGCCTCTTCCTGGCGAGGTCGGATAGGTGGCGCTGCCCTGGATGGCGCACATCAGCTGTTGTATTGCATGGTATGAAGCCAGCCTCCCCGGAACTGCCAACCATGGCTCACCCTGACGACAGTGTCTCACCGCGCAAGCAGTGGCTACCAGGAGCCGCAGTTCAGTGCGAGGAAGAACGGAGGAAGGAGGCAGCCTGCCAGCGCTCGTGCAGCCAGAGAAAGAAAATGAAGATGTTAGCTGGCAGGCAGGCAGGCAAACCCCACTCCCGAGGCCTGTGGCTAGGCTGGGGAGGGAGGGAGGGAGTGGACGAGCATCAGGTGCCTGAGGGAAATGCGCTGTGCTGGCTGTGAGCACATTGCCTGATCAGAAATTCTGAAATCGCTTTTGTGATTTTAAATTTAAACCGGCTTCAGGCAGCGTATCAATACATTGCCTAGGCCTACTCTACTAGTCGCTTAGGGCTGTAGCCAACTAAATTCTTCATGGAGCAAACCCATTGAAATTAATGGACCTAGGTTGGACTTTTCTGAAGTTTTAGTGGTTTAATCTGAGCAGTAGGGGTGTATCCATTGTTAGTCCCACTTGGACCCATTGAAATTGACGGACACAACAAACTTAGGCCCACCAATGAGTCTACCCTGAATACAGCTGGCAATGCCCCATAGCTTGCAACCTGTATAGTCCTCATGGGGTCCATTATTAGCATTGGGGCTGTAAGGTAAAGGGACCCCTGACTATTAGGTCCAGTCGTGGCCTACTCTGGGGTTGCGGCGCTCATCTTGCTTTATTGGCCGAGGGAGCTGGTGTACAGCTTCCGGTCATGTGGCCAGCATGACTAAGCCGCTTCTGGCGAACCAGAGCAGCGCACGGAAACGCCGTTTACCTTCCTGCCAGAGGGGTACCTATTTATCTACTTGCACTTTTCTGTGCTTTTGAACTGCTAGGTTGGCAGGAGCAGGGACCGAGCAACGGGAGCTCACCCCGTCGCAGGGATTCAAACTGCCGACCATCTGATTGGCAAGCCCTAGGCTCTGTGGTTTAACCCACAGTGTGTACACACCTTCATATTCCTAGGACTGGAAATTCACAGATGTGATAGCCATCTCTCATTGCCCTCCCTTCAGAGTTGGCAGCTCAGCTGGCAGGTGCCGAGACTCGCTGCAGCCTTCTGGAAAAGCAGCTGGATTACATGAAACAAATGATTGCACAGGCGGAACTCGAAAAGACCACTGTCTTGCAGAAGCAGGTATGTCGTCTGCCTTGGTGTCATCTGGCCTTCTTAATGCGAATTCTATGAATGTTGCCAACAGCCATAATACACCTGGGCTACACACACACACACACACACACACACACACTTATGGAACTCAGTGCCGCAAGATGTGGTGATGGCCATAAGCTTAGATGGCTTTCAAAGCTGAGTGAGACAAATTTCAGAGAAGACGTACTAGCCCTGGTGGGTATTCCCTACCTCCAGTATCGAAGTGCATCTGAACATCAACTGCAGGTGAATTCTAACCGGAGGAGCTGTTTCCTCTTCATGTCCAACATTTGGGCTTCCTCAAATGTGGCATCTGGTCAGCTTCTGTGGGAAACTGAATGGCAGAGTAGGTGGACCATCAGTCTGACCCAACCAGGCTTTTATTAGGTTACGTTGTGGGCCTGGGTTGCCATCCTGCGGAGCTTGAAAACTATTCTCCTTCACTGAACAGTTTTGCCACCTTATCTGCTGCTGGGGCCTGCTGTTGACATGATATAGGCCCTAGTCTCAAATGTCACAATATTCAGCCCTAGAATTAAAAGGGTTGACACAAGCCTTTTGTGAGCTTCACACACACACACACACACACACACACATCCTGCTTCACTTTTCTCCCATTATGTTGCTGTTTTTTAGTGAGATGTTGCAGTTGACTAGGGTTGCAGACTTTTACTGCTGTTGGCAACCCCTGTGCTTTTCAGCGGCAGGCAGAAATTCAGCTGGTGAAGCTCTTCCCGTCACTTCTTTCCTGCCTCTCCACGCCATGAATAACTTTCCTCCTTCTGTTTCCAGGCCACATTAGAAAGAGAGAGAATCCTTGATCAATCGCATGTGACCTCTAAGTTGGAAAGGTTGGATCTACTTGAAAAAGAATATGCAAGGCTTACGTCGATGCAGTCTCATGCAGAGGTAGGTTGTGTTCGTTTGGATGCCCGAGACCAGGTTTGTGCTCATTGTGGATGCTCAGCATTCTTGTAATGTAGCGATGGAGAACCTGTGACCTTCCAGATGTTTCTGGGCTACAAATCCCATCATCCCTGACCATTGGCCATGCTGGCTGGGGCGGATGGGAGAGTCACAACTTTCTACATCCCTGTCATCGTGCCCCCCGATGGGCTTTCCAGACAAGATCTGGCTGGCCATTATTGGTCTGATACAAGAAGGGCTTCCTTGGTGTTTGAATCCACTCAATTTTTATACTGGAACTTGGAGCAGAGATATATAAATGACCTCTGTGGGACTTACTCCCAGAAAACCATGTATAGTGTTAACAGTCTGAAAGTTGCAATATTGTGCTTCTGCTATTTTAAAGGTAAGCATGTCACGTTTTGTGTTCTAAACACTAGGATATGTTTTATCCTTTCTTTTATTCATATGCAAATGAAATCAATTAAATTCATTTGATGAGTTGATATAAATATTTCTTAATCAGTTGGCAGCCGTACTAAATAGGGTAATGTTTAGATTTCTTCTTCTGCTGTAGTTTTCTGCATGAGAACCTCTGAATCCCAAATTCTGCTCCAATAAAACATGAATTCTGCTCGCAAGAAAACCTAAAAGCTCAGCCCCAAAATTATGCTATGCCACATTTATTTAGCTTAATATGGTGTGTGCCTTACACTCATATTTAGATTTCCACCACCACCACCACCATCGTGCCACCTATTTTGATTTTTGTAAATTTAGTTCTCTTCTGGATCCCCCTAGTGGTTGAATATAACTGCATAGATAGCCATGTCTCCTACTTTTGTGAGCTGTGGCTCTGGTGGCCTCCAGATCTGTTTCTATTATGTATTCGTTGCCTTTGTATCCTACTCCAGAAAGGTCAGAGCAGATCTTACTCCCCAGCAACCCTAAAAGGAGGCTAGATTATTTCTTCCCTTTAAAAGAAAAAGGGTGAGCTTAGACCCAGCCTATCCCCAGACAGATCATTGCCTACGGGACACCCTGCTGGAGGCAGGAGGCAAGACTCAATTGGCTGTTGGGTGATCTTAGGTTTTGCTTTTGTTTAAACTAGAAAAAAATGAAAGAGCTGGAAGAGAAGCTCCTGGAGGAAGAACAAGCGCGGAAACGGGTGCAGGAAAAAGCGGCAGAGGCAAGTCCTTCCGATTTGTGGCCTGAATTTCTCTGCAGAGGAAAGAACTCCTGAGGGCATGTAGGATTTGTAATTCGTTTGAGGCCTCCTTGCAGAAACATGGAATGATTAGAAACTTCAGTCTGTGCGTAGGCGACAGTCATGGTAGAATTTTTTTTCAGAAGATTGCAAGAATATGTCCAGACACAAGCTGCTGAGTAGCATAAGGTCTTGTCTGCAGGCCTGTTGGTGGGCCAGTTATTGTGGTCTGCAGATTATTATTAATTTTATGACACTGCAGACATTTTTAGTTGAAAACCTACATCCAGTTTGTTGGGATAGAACTCCCCATCTCCAGCCTTTAATGCAAATGCCTCCAATTACATGCAGTAGATGTACATATAGATATTTGTGTATCAGTTCCATGCCTCCATCACAAAGCAGACTTCTCCAGCCTAGTGCCTGAATTTGCACTACAATTCTCATCATCCCTGACACTTGCTCATGCTGGCTTAAGCTGCTGGGAGCTGGAGTTCCAACAACATCTGGAGGGCAGCAGGTTGGGAGAAGTTTGATACAGAAGCAGTGGAACAGGAGTTTGGATAGCAGCTCTGGGCTGTTCCCATATAAGGCTCTGGTACCATCCAGGGGCAGGCTACTCTTTTGATGGGGAAAACCAGGGCTGGGATGAATATCTAATAATACTGCTTTGCACAGTGAACACAAGACACACTATACACACCCTATAAACAGTTGCCTTAAGAAGTCCCCCCTCTCTCTCTGAGCCCAGAGAGGGTTTTAGCTTTCAAAATCTTTGCTTGGACCAATTCCACAAAGCAAGAATGAAGTCCCGATTGCCAAAGTCCTGCAACTACACTGTCCTTCGTCCAGTTTTCCAACAGCCTTTGAATCTTCAATTTCTCTCCCACCAGTTTCAGTGTATCTCTGCACATCTCCACAGTTTGTCTCCCCTATTCGTCTCCATGCAGGAATGCTGAATAGTGGGCCTCTTACGCAGGCCGGCTCTACATGCCGTGTTGCATAGCAGCAGAGATAAGGAATCACAAGCCCTCTGCAGCTGCGTTTTAGGAAGGAACATTCTTACCAGCTTATGTAGGAATTAACACTTTCCTCAACGAATGGATGCCTGTGGCTGAACGTGTTTAGCACTTCTGGACTGTGTCAGGGATGAGGAGCTTCCAGCCCTTGTAATATTGTTGGACTACAGTTCCTATCCCCCGACTATTGTTATACTGGCTGGGGCTAATGGGACTGGGGAGTCCTGCAACATCTTTGGGGTGACCCAACTGTGGGCTGTGCCTTAGCTGGCAAACCGCCCCTCCCCGACTTCATCTTCTATTATTTTGAATTAAAGAAAATAATAATAATAACCCCCAGGCTTATCTTGGCAGCTTCAGACGGGTTTGGAGAAGAACAGACAGTTGTTGGAAGCACAAACGCAGCCTGTGGTGTTGGTGGAACCGTTGAAACCAAAGAAGATCAAGAAGAAAGCAAAGCAGCTGGAAAAGGTACATCACTGGTGCTAAAAGAGCTTAGATTGCATCCCTGTTTAGCTGTGGCCCGTAATCCACATAAAGCCCTGATTTCACGCAGCCCTCATAGATGGAGTGGAGGTGAGGGACAGCTGTGGAACCCTCCAGTGCTGCAGACTCTGCTCTTTATTGGCTGTAGTTTCGCCCATCATCAGTTCTGGCTCCTCCCACCATTTGTTGTCACCCTTGATTGATTAATTTCTCCTAACGTGAGTGTTTCTCTTCTCTCTTTTTAGAATGACCCTGGAATGGTTCACTGCCACGCACAGCCTCACTATAGGCTGCGGCTGGGAGATGTGCCTTTTGTCGCGGGAAAGGTAAGGAATCAATGACTTCCCAAGCCCTGATAACTGAATGGAGGGCTCTGTGTTCAGAGACAATACTAGGAAATGGGGTTTCAAGGTACCCTTCTGCTCAGGGCAGAGAATCTTGCAACCATGGCATCCCTGAGAGCTGGCTGCTCAACCTATGCCTCATCTCCAGCAAAGGAGAGCCTGCCATCACCAGAGGCTGTCTCTTCCATAGGCAAACAGCTGTTTCTCCTAATGTTCAGCTGAAATCGGCTGTCCTTTCCACCCACTGGTTCTTCTCCACTTTCTGCACATCATGTTGCTGGCATTCATCTGTCTCTGGAGATGGTGGAGGAGTGTGTCTTTGGAGGTGAAGTCAAGCTGTTGGATGGTTGCAGTTCCTGCTGTGGCTGTAGAGACTGATGTGGGGGAGACATGTTTTGTTGCAGCTGGGGCCGATGACAGGTCTCAAACCCTCCGCGAGTTAGGCTCTGCACAAAGATATTGGAAGGCTGCTATCGCAGCTCCCCTTAATTTCCTGTCCCAAAGTCCTAACTCCGTATAAGCCAGCGTTGTATGTGCTGATGCATATCCGGGCTACCTTTTGCTCAGCGTTCAATTCCCCAGGTCGCCTTTGCCTTCTTCACCTTTCCCCCCCCCCTTTACTTTCAGTCCACAAGCCCCAGCCACTCGGTGGGAGCCAACGTTCAGCATGTGCTGCACCTGATGAAGCATCATTCGAAAGCCCTTTGCAATGAGCGTGTGGTCAGCAATGTCCCCTTGAGCAAGCCGATGGGCAGAGGAAGGAGGAACTCCGGCTCTTCCATTTCTTCCACGTCCCAGGGAGACCTTTCCGAGGTGCTGTTGACGCTGCAAGACGAACTGGGGCAGATGGGCTTGTGAGTCAAAACACTTGCGCGCCTTGCGGATCTTCTGAGCGTGTTCCGTTGTGTGACTCTCGATTCCGGCAGCTGCCCCACAGACCCCCTGAGCAGAAGTGCAGGTCATCCTTCACAATTCTGTCTGAATGTCGTTGGAAGCAAAGTCTGTGTTGCTTACTCTCAGGGAGAGGAGCATTGGACTGCAACCTTGGAGTGTCAAAATAAAACTGCTAGGGCCGTTTTGACAGCTGGGTGGGGCTACCCACCTGCCAATCACCAGGCATCACAATGATCCCAGATGACCCCAAATAATGTATTTCCTTTGTGAGCAGGCTGGATTGGAAGAGCCTTGCTTTGCTGACTTGAAATCAAGCTTGGCAATGCAAAGGAATATTTGTGCATGCAGCAAGCCCTGCTTTGGGAACTCCAAAGCATCGACAGTTCTTCCGGGGCTTGCTGTCACTGCTGATAGCGAGCCCCACTTGGCAAGGAATAACGGGAGCACGCTTCAAGACTTCTGATTGTTCCTTTGCAGATGCGTCCCCACCCATTAAGACATCACAGGTGATGTCACGTGTAGGGCAGGTGGGCATAGTTTGAGGGGAAGGGCCTCTATATGCTGACGAAGAAAAGGCACTCTGCACATACTCAGAGACACTCTTATTGGGTTCCTGGAACTGGAAAGGGGGCAAAGCAAATAGTGATGTCCAGAAGAAGAAAAGCATGCCCCAAGTGACGTGCTACTGCAAGAAAGTTGACTAAAATCATAGAATAGGACCATTCTGCCCCTGAGAAGAACCCCTATTTAAATGGTAGCTTTGCTACAATAAAGCATCTGTCTGGGGTTTTGCCTCCCCACCCCATGCAAATGCACTTAAAGACAGGCTTCTTGGTCACGTTGTAGCCTCTTCTCTTTCCCTGCCATTCCTAACAATGATGGATAGCCGACAACTTAATCCACCAATTCTGTTTTCCTCCAATCTATCGCAAACACCCTTTATGTTGGTAAATGTGCTTATTCATCTGCCTGTCGAAAAAATAATATTTTTTGTCACTGGTTTAACAGCCCTAGATTTTGAAGTTGGATTGTTTCCTCTACTTGCAAAGCGACTCTGAAAATGTATATGAAACATGTTCTTAGCGAGCAAAAAGCAAGTTTAATCCGCCCCCTGCCCTGAATCTTTCTATTGCATGTAAGCGATCACCAGCAGCTGGTAAAACTCATCCATGAGGCTCCAACGATTGCCGTAAGAGAAGACCTAGAGAGGGAGCTGGAAGTGCTGGTGAAGAAGATGGAAGCCAAGGCAGAACAGATCTGTAAAATCCAGAGGCATCGAGCGCGGGTGAGTTGCCCTGCTGCCTGAGTTCTGGCACCTGGAAAGAAGGAATCATTACAGTCACTCCCCGCAAGATGATGCTGGACTATTACTCCCATCATCCCTGGCCATTGGGGCCGATGGGAGTTGGAGTCCAACAACCTCTAGAGGACCGCAGGTTGAACAACAATGCCACAACTTTTGAGCAGCTCGATTGCTTTTTATAATAGGTGATGGCAAACAATTACGTAGTGCCCCGCTGGCCATCCCTGCACAAGGCAAATGTACAACAGATAAAGGAGGTGCACCTGAGCTTGTACTCTCTCCTCCAGGGATGGAGGAAGCTGTGGCTTTCCAGATGTTGGACTGCCAACAGCAGTAGCCAGCATGGCCAATGGTCTGGGGTGCTGGAAGCTGTAGTCCAGCAACATCTGGAGGGCCACAGGTGCCCGCCCTCTCTACTCTGATTAGCAGCAGCTCCAGATGTTTTCAGACTCCCATCGCTTGGCCATGCCGGCTGGGTCCGAGTCCACCATTGGTGGGCTGCAGGTTCCCCTTCTCCGATTTAATGCACTTCTATTCCACCTTTCAAAGTGTGAATTGGTCCATTGATGAGTATTTTACACTAATATGCACCACTTAATTGTCTTTCCATTAAGCTGTTTATAATTTTTTGCGAAATAAATAAATAAAACCTAAAAATGAATGTCAGGGTGGCTTCGAGCTGTAACTCAACAGTAGAACATCTGCTTTGCATGCACAAGGACCAGTCTTCAAGTAGAACAGCCGGGATAGCTCATTTTGTACATACAGCATGAGACTCTGAATCTCAGGTTTGTGGGTTCGAGCCCCACATTGGACAAAAGATTCCTGCATTGCAGGGGGTTGGTCTAGAAGACTCTTGTGGTCCCTTCCAACTCTACAATTCTGTGACCACAGAAATATTGAAGAGCTGCTGCCAGTCACTGTTGACAGTGCTAAGCTACATGGACCAATGAGTCCAACTCTGTATAAGGCAGCTTCCTATTAAAATAACATCTGGAACAACCTATGAGGGGGAAAAACATGTTATGGTAGAATAACTGTAGACCATAACAGGTCTGTAGAATATAGTTTTCTCGAAGAAGAAAAACCTCTCTCCCCGCAGAGTTGGTGAAGGGGATTGGAGGGAAGGAAGAATATTCCTGAGGTAAAAAGCAGGCCATTCTGAAATGCCCTCTCCCCTTCTCCTTTTTTGACCTCGCAGCTGGCGAAGCAGAAGAGGGAAGGCAGGCTCTCTTGTCCTCAGCAGCCAAGCAGAGGCTGCGAAGCGAAAACGAAGGTCAACCGGGTGAAAGACGCTGGCCTGAAGAGGAGACCCGGAGAGCAGGGCAAGAAGAGTCTGCAATTGCTGAGGGAAATGCAAAGCATACAGACCTCCCTTCAGAAAGATGACAACAGTTGGGACTACTGAGGCGTCTTGCGTGTGTGATGGTTGTTGTTTTTTGCACCTTTTCTGGCGTGCTGGCTCCAATCTCAGCTGCCTTCCCTGCACTTTCTAAACAAAAGCCCCTCATTCCCCATCTGTGGGCTTGATCAGATTACAGCCCCTAATCCTGATGCAGGAGGTGGGGAGGGAAGAAATAAGATAACCCTTATTATTCTTTTAGCACGTCAACAATCCCTTTGCTGTGAACCATTGTATTCTCCTTACCCTACAACTCAGGCAATTAATCTAATTGCTCACCAGGGGCGACTCTTTCCTAAGCCTAGAGGCAGACAATAGTGATTTTCTTCCCCACTCCCCTCCACAGAAGAGGGTATAATGGAGGCATAGTTGTCTCCGGTATGCAGGTTTTGCAGGCCTTTGCCCTGCTTCAAAAATGTCCACTGCCGTCTTGACCAGTGGGGTGAAAGACACAAAAAGGTGTTATTACATTACCTTTCAACTCTCCTAAAATGCATTGTTTTGTCTTCAGCCTTAAACTGCTCCCTCTCCTGCAATTCCTCCCAAAATTGCTTTATGTGTGGTGTTGGGTATTTTCCACTTCAGATGTTCAAACGTTCTCAGTAAGACGTTCTCATTTCGAAAAATGGAAGTTTTGTAAAGAGTGACCTCTTCAATATTCAGTTGACTACCTAAAGGCTTTTACCTCAGCTTATAATTAAGGATGCTTCCTTCAGTGTTTTTCCATCCTTGGAATCTTAATAATGTGGTTTCAAAGAGGAACTGAACAGCTATCTGTATCTTCTCTCTTGGTTTTTTTCTCCTTGCAGAAGAGTGAAGTCAATGTGTTTCTTTTTAAAAAAACAAAACACACGCAACAGCACCTCCGATCATGGCTGTTCTGGTATTGGCAGCTGGTTTTTAACTTGGCTTTTAATAATTTTATCCTTAACTGGACTAGGAGATCTGGTGGCTGTCGTGGTACTATGGATTTTTATAAACACACACATGCACAGAGACATATTATTTATTACATTAATAATGTAAAGTCTTTCCAATTATTGGAATGTAATGATGACTCAAAAAATTGTGCTTTTTGAGGTTTGATTGGGATCCAATAAAGGCAACTTGCCAATTGAATAAATTAGGCGGAAAACAACTTCTCTTGAACTTTTCCACTTTACAAGTACTAGTGCAACTCAAGGATCCATATGCTCTAAACAAATCTGGAAAGCCGGTTGCATTCAGAGATTGATGCTTTTGTGTATGTTAAGTATAGCCTGTGCTTCCTGCAGTGAGACTTGCCAGCATGCAACCTGGACAGTACATGCAAAACCCTCATCACCTGCTAAAGCAAAAACAAGGTAGCAAGGACCCCTGACTGTTTTTTTCTGTGGACCTGCTGCAAGCTCCCCTCCCTCACCCTCCTTTGTGAGCAGACAGCAAGGCACTGCTGTCTTTGCCATCTCTGCTCAGATGCCCTGAGGAATAGCAGCAGGACCCACTGCTCAGGGAGTGTCGTGCGTCACCTGGGTCTCCCTGAGCCGTTTCTGCGTCATGGCAAAGGACTGCCTTTGCATGAACTGGAACAAGGCCACAGCAAATCGAAAGCAATCAAATATGCCTTTCCTTTTGTCAAGAGTTGTGTCCCAATCCTTCTTGGCCCTTCAAGCCTTAAGCAAGTCAGTCTCTCTTTGGCAATGCAAGTGGAATGCAAAATGTTAAACCAGGTGTGCCAACTTTGAGATATATTTGCAATTAAGTTGCTTCCACCTTACCTTAGTTTCCCCACCAATTGAGCTCAGATATGAAAAGTACCTACCTTAAGCAAATGCCCACATGTCCAGAACAAGTGACAGCTGTACTGTACAGTCATGTCAGTGGTGACATCAAATGGTCATTTGTCCTTGAGCGACTTGGAAGCACCTGAACGTTGATTGCTCCCTTGGAAAGGAGGCCACAAGCAGCCCCACGGAAGACTGATGCATAAATAAATATAAGGTGCTATTTTAAAGCTAAAAAATAAAAATCTAAATCATACACCAGTCTTAAATGTGCAGTTGCTGGTTAGTTCCTTGGGAGGGCTGGAACCCTGCAAATATGCTTGTTCTTGTACGTTCCAAGTTTGACCGTATAAACAGTTGAAACACTACCAAGAAAGGGCAAGAGAACATTTTGGTACTTTGTTTATCATAGCTCTTTCCGTTTGAGACAATACATAGTCGATAATCATGTTAAAAATAGTAATACACAGGAAAGTCGCCACCCAGGGCAACCTAATACAGTCAAAGGGCCTGCAGAGTAGGTTTTGGTCTACACAAGAGTAGGAAACCCGTGGCCTCCAGCTGCTGCTTGGCTACGGCTTCCATCACCCCCAACCAGTGGCTGTGCTGGTGGGGGCTGATGGGAATTGGAGTCCAGGAAGATTTGAACTGGCACAGAGTCCCCCTTACCACCATTGGTCCGAATAGAGAACAGAATGATAGAACAGATTATACCACTTCAGACCGCAGGTGAAGGAAATGGCATGTTTTAAATGCTCTGTTGTATGGAAACGCAACCAGAGTTTAAAAACAAAACCCTAGCACAGCAAGGGCTGAGCTAGGCCTATTCCCCCCATATTTCGCTAGTTTGTCATTTGTAGGGAGTTTTATATTGGGAAGAAAATTATCCCATCCCTCCCCTCCGCCCTGTGGTCTGAAGTGGAACAATCCGCTCTCATTCAGCTGCAGGTATACACCAACCCTAGCCAAACTGCATTGCCCCGAGTTGTCATAATCAACGCCCACTGTCCGTTCACAAATAAATAATTGCACCCTTTTGCTTCCAAATAACAGAAACCAATGCCGGCAAGTAACAAAAAGGAACAGGATTACGTTACATTGTCAAGTCAGAGCGATGCCATACTTTGCTGTGGCCATCTTCAGAAAGATCCTGAAGACACAGTTGGGTTACAGGCAGGGTGTGCTTTCCAGCATGTAAACTGCACACTTGGGAACATTCAGTAAAAGTAGAGGCATGGTGGCTAAGAAAGTCTAGAACGGGGACCTGGGGACCTCGAGATGTTGAGCTCCCAGTTCCCACCAGCCTTGCTTTTAGCAGTTCCAGGTTGGGCCTAGTCTCGCAACATGGGGATTACATCAGTTCGGTCTACCATCCCTGCTCCCCCTTCTCCCGAGCCTTTTAAACCCAGGCAAACGCTTCCATCACTGATGAAGAAGACACTGCCAGAAATATAAATGTGGTGTCCCCTCCATAATTTCTGCCGTATCCATCCTGGGAAAGGCAGAACGCTGGTTTAGAACATGAAATAACAACCAGCTAGTAACAGATAAGGTGGAACCTTGGTTTACGAACTTAATCCATTCCGGAAGTCCAAGACACACTTTCCCTAATGAGGCCTCCTGCTGCCAGTGCCCTTCCACCACTCAGCTTCCGTTCTTACACCAAGGTAAAGTTCACAAACCAGGACACTACTTACGGTTTTGCGGAGTTCGTAAACAGGGCTGTTCTTAAACCAAGGTACCACTGTACTTGGAAACACATCACAGTCTTGCTTGAACCTGAAGATGTGGACATGCCCAACTCCTGCTGTTGCTTAGGGGTGGGGAACCCATAGCTCCCCAAATATTGCTGGACTACAACGCCCACCATCTCCACCCATTGGCCATGCTGGTTGGGGAGGATGTGGGCTGTTACCTAACACCTGGGATCCAAGGTTGGTGAAACATGATTTATGGCAAGCCAGGGGCATCGGCAAGGATGGGTGATGGAGCTGTTAGTCCAACATCGGAAAGACTGTGGGCTCCTCACCCCGGCACAACAGCAAGAGTTGGACACGCCGGCTTGTTCCCAGAGCATGGAGGATAAAAAAGCTAATTGGCTTGGCAGAGCTCACCTGTTTATAAGGCATTAGACAGGTGAGAGGAATAGCAAGGAAACAAAATGGGTTCAAGATGGGTTGGGGGTTTAGGCAGCAAGCACCCACCCATCACAATGCAATCACTTGTTTTCTTGCTCACAGCACCATCGGCAGAGAGGCAATTGGTGACCCTTTAGTGCTTTTAGCAGAATGTCCAGCATTATGCGCGGTCAAGGGGGAAGAGGGAGCCGGTGTGTACGCTGCACAGACCTGGGGGAGCCGCCGTGGGTCTCTGTGCAGGCCGAGAAAGGCACCCTGCATGCATAAATGGAATTCTTAAGAGAGCAAGACTCCAAACCCCATCATCTTGAACCTTTGGCTGGGCCAGCTGGGGCTGAAGATCACAGCAGCTGGAGGACCACGCATTCCCCATCCTTGTTTTAAAGGCCACGGTGACCAGAGTTGGGGAGTGCACACTGCCGTGGTGTCCCTAAGTGAAGCACTTACGTTTTGCCCCCACCCGCAAATTAGTAAAGGTGAGGCTCAGCTTCCACAGAGTTGAGTTTGGGGATGTTTTTGCTCCCTCTCAAAAACCTATAGTTTGTTCGCTCGGCTGAAGACACACCTTACCAAACTGGTACCAAGACATCGGCACAATAATGGCAAGCGGTGTCTCTCTCACACAGCAGAGAAACCACCCTGGCAATCTGTGGCTACTCTGGTGCCGGAGGTGGGACTTCACGATCCTTTGGTCTGTTGTCTTGAAACGCCCCTGTTTGCATACGCACCACTGAACACAAGGCAGCTACAGCAGTACGACTGGGATGTGCCAGCACATACACACACACACACATAAATACACCAATCCCTTTTCAAGTCACTGGAACAATGCGATAGAACCCAAGCAACAGAGACCACCATCAGAAAGCAACGTCACATCACCCACAGCCTAACACTTCACAATGCGATTCCCAGTACGTTTCCCCCATGCAGAAAGGAGACCTTATCCAACACCATTGCCATAGTGTGTGTGTCAGTGTGTGGGTGCAATTCTTTCCCCAAAGTATATGATTTATTCTATTTTTTTCTGATGTCAGGAAAGACAAAACACATACTCTTGGCAAGCTTCATAGCTACCCATGTCCCCTTTGCCAATAGCAATGGAAACCAGAGGAGAACTGGAAGACTATGGGTCTCTGGCACCCCTTAGTTCAGGGATGGGGCACCCATAGCCCTCCTGATGTCATTGGACTCCCATCAGCCCCAGCTGGTATGGCCAGTGCTCAGACTATGAGAATTATGGTCCAACAACATCTGAACGCCACAGGTTCCCCATCCCTGCCTTAGGACAGTGTTGACATTTGTGTCATAGGGAATGATGGTTTTCTTGCTGCTGCAACTTATGGGGCTGGAGAATGTCCCAAAAGGGGGACGCGGGCACAACATGGAAACACTTTTCAACGGAACTTTCAAATAACATGACATTTCTACTCCGATTAAGTAAGGCATTGCTTTAGCACTGGAACGTGGTTAACTATATTTAACAGCAAATTGCTAGCAAGTAGTACCCAGATATTAACGAATGTCAAGCTCTAAAGCCTCGTGACGATGCTCCCTGCTTTGTTTTGTTTTAACCCAAATGATGAGAATTAAACTGTTTATAGCGAGCCATTCTTTGTTTTTCCAAATCTAGAGGGAGTTTAATTTTCAGGTGACAACCCCCAACGGATAAATTTTGCTAGCTGTTGATGTTGCCTCTTGAAGCGGGGGCAAGCAAACTGTTGTTCATGGTCCACCCGTGGACTGCAGCTGCCTGCAGTGGTTTTTTTGTGGCTACAAAATCCCTCAGCAAATATGGTGGCCGTGCAGGAGCAGAACCTGCCATACAAAAGCTGGCACAGAAACTGTGTTCTGCTTCATACCTATACAAAGATGGCACTCCGTGAGTCAGATGGATTGCTGTCACCTTTGCTTGGGGAATCACTGGTGGCACAAAAAAGGCTGCAAAGGATGCAAAGGACTGCCTTAAGAACACGATGAGATTGGGATTTCCTCCCAAATAATGGGACAAGCTCCTTTGTCGACAGTGTCCGGAAACCAAATGAGCACAACTGCTTTTGCGTGCAGACCAAGATTTCCTGATTCTTCCCTTTTCTGGAATGTAGTTCTTTGTTGTTGCCATTTGCTTAGGTTCCTCTGAGTTTTTGGGAGCAGCTCATCAGATGGCGAGGGAGGGGACAGGATGATGCAAGCTACACTGTGGTCATACCACTGTTTGAAGTCTGCAGCTTCCAGTGTGAGAGCAATGTTCTCCATTTCAAAGCAACACCACCGCTTTCACAACTTGAGCTCAATGAACAAGTGTCCTGGTTTCGTCCTGGGAGGCTGTGCCAGCAAGCTTCCTTGTAACTACGCCCCCGAGTAAGATAATTATATATGACGCCTTTAAACGACAATAAGCAGAACAAAAAAAGAAAGAGAAAAGGCTTTCGCTTCCTGTAGTGTTACATCCTTAATAATAATAAACATTATAATAAACCCTGGTGCAGGGACGTAGAGTAATAAATAGTGTGTCTGACCTGCATTCTAAGTTCGCAAAGTTTTCTCTTTTTGAAGTTTCCATTTCTGGATAAGCTGCCATTATCACGCAATTCTGGAGAGATGACAAATCGAAGAGTCTGCAAGCTGCGTCATACCACAGTCTGGACCGGGGTGGCACACTGGGCAGGAGAACTGCCTCTCTCAGAGGAGGAAGTGGAACGGTTGGTGATCTCTCGCTGGAGCTCTTCCACCTTCTTCTGGAGCTCAGCTCGTTTGGCCAGGAGTTCCTTGTAGCGGTTGTGCAGCGGCTCCTACAGCAAGACAGGAAGCATCACACTCAAGTCTTGGGAGATGGAGGATAACCACAGATAGAAGCTTCATTTGGACCAGAGATCAGCTATTTTTAGCCCCGAAGCTATTTTCAACGCCAGAACTAAGGCCCAGAACCCAGCGAAGTACATAAGCTTGAAAGTTTTAAACAACTGTATTTGGCTTTTTTTAATGTAAACAACGAATGGAAATTTTTCTAATGTTTTTCTTTTAAATTTTGTTTCCCACTTTCTCTCTCTCTCTTCTTCCTTTTTTAAAAAACAAAACTTTCCCATCCCTTTATTATTTCTATCTTTCTGTTATTTTTGCTTCTTCTTCTTTTACTTTGCTCTTGCTTTTATAAGCCAGTCTGGGTTAGCAAGGAGACTACACACAGATCGAGGTAGTGGATGGTTGGTAAACAACCCTGTGTGAGAGACAGGGAAGGGAAGACCTCCCAGGGTAAGAGACTGGGATAGGAAAGGGAAGTTCCCAGGTGAGAGAGCTGGGAGGGTCCAGCTCTATCTCTGTGGGATAAGAGTTTAGATCTACCTGGGAGAGAAGACTTTGCATTTTTCTTTTTATGTTTTTCTTTTGGCTTAGTTTTTTTATTTATTGCAATGCAGTATGAAAAGTCTCAATAAAACTTTCCAACACAAAGAAAAGAAAAGAGATAACACAGTGAAGCAATAACATGTAAACCATGGTATAATGGTATGGGGTTGCTCGTGCGTAAGTTGCCGCCTCTCCTGGCTATGTTGCCTTGTTAAACCTTTCTGTCTGGACAGCCCTTCAATTCGTGGCTGCCTCAGTCGCTAGCAGAATCCGTCAGTGGGCGTTTCTTAAACCTCTTCCAACATAAAAGTTGTTTGACGCCCAGTCTCCTCCTACTCTCCCTGCGTGGAAGTCTTCTGCGCAGGGAGGGCGTGGGTAGCGGAGGACCCGTGCTCTCCTCGCTGATGTCCAGTGAAGAGTCTTGGAGCCCTCTCACCGATTCCCCCATCTGCCCCCCTTTATCCCTGGTGTAACGTTGATTTGCTTCCCCCTCTGCTGAACTGCCTCTCTCCCTGCTTGGCCCTTCTCCAGCATCATTTGAGAGCCTTCCCTCCGCCTCAGGCTCCGATGTCAGTTCCCTGACACATGGTTTTTTTAAAAAAGGTAAAGGACCCTTGGACGGTTAAGTCCAGTCAAAGGCAAATTGGGTACAGTGCTCATTTCGCTTTCAGGCCGAGGGAGCTGGTGTCTGTCCACAGACAGCTTTCCTGGTCATATGGCCAGCATGACTAAACCGCTTCTAGAGCAACAGGACACCGTGATGGAAACCAGAGCACATGGAAACGCCGTTTATTTTCCTGCCGGAGTGGTACCTATTTATCAACTTGCACTGGTGTGCTTTTGAGCAGCAGCTGGGACAGAGCAACAGGAGCTTACCCCATCACGGGGATTCGAACCGCCAACCTTCTGACCGGCAAGCCCAAGAGGCTCAGTGGTTTAGACCACAGCACCACCCACCTGCGTCCCATAGTTAATCATGTCTGGCAAGGGCGCGAACCTTTGGATCAAGCAAGCTTCTTGTCCAGCGGCTCTCAGCCCAAGCATGCACTCAGGCTCTGAGAAGCATGCAATGCAGAGAAACTTTGACCTCCCCAGTTTTCACCCCTTTCCTCCTCCTCGTCACCTTACCTGTGGCTTCATCCGCGGGTTCCACCTGATGTAGTAGCCTACCCAGAGTTCCAGGTGGCGCATGCTGGCCACGGGATACAAAACGTGGTTGGTGTAGCTGGCATAGAGAGGATTGGTGAAGTCTTCGAGCTGGCTGTTTATATAAGACCACAGCGAAACCGTCTTTTTGGGAAGGCCCTGAAAAACAGGAGGGAAGACGGATGCTTTACTGTATTTGTGGCACTTTAGGAGAATGCCTTAGCACAGTTCTGGGGAGTTTTAGCAACTTGCAGAATTAGGACTACTACTTCCATTATCCTTGACCAGGAGTCGCTGGAGGGCACCATGTTGTCTACCGCCTGCTTTGTAGAAGAGGCGTGGATCTTCTATTTATTTCTTTTTCCCCTTAAGATTTTATTAAAGCCTTTAAACATGGATCCACATGTGGTGGAACTGTAAAAATATCAGTTTTGGGAAACGATTTATAATGAACTTAAGAAACTGTTTAAATGCTCTTTCCCTAAAAATCCTGAAGCCTTCCTGCTAGGAATTATGGGTAATCAATCTCTCTTCACAGGGAGCTTTCAAAAAGGTTCAGGAAATTCTTTATGTATGCTACAATAGTTGCCACAATTCTAATCGCAAAAGATTGGGAGAAGCTACCCCATCCAAACCAGCCTGGCAAAATAAATTAAGAGAGTACGCTGAACTAGTGAGACTATCAGCAAGGTTTTGAGACGTTACAGATGAAAAATTTACCAGAGTGTGGGACACCTACAGAGTTTATGTAAAAGAATATTGTCAAAATATCAATCCAGGTTTTGGCAGGTTTTGATTGAGTTTCTGTCTGTAATTATTCTGTGCGTTGATTATTTCTGTCATACAGTTTTAAAACCAATAAAGCATTAATAAAAAAAAAAAAAGATTTTATTAAAGCCTTTTCATGATACAATAAGATAAAAGGAACCAATCTCAATAAAAACCAAAGCAGAGAAAGAAAGAGAAAAGAAAACGCAGAGTCCTTTCTCAAAAGGAGCTCTCAAATCTTGTCTCACCCAGAAAGTGGTAGACCCTCCCAGATCTCACCTGGGAGCATCCCTTTGCTCTCTCAGTCTCTCACCTTAGGAGGTCTTCCCTGCCTCTCACTTGGGGTCCTTCCATCCACCGTCATGTGTGTGTAACCCGTGGGCCCCAACGACGGTAAGTAGGAAAGCAAAATGTTTTTTTTTTTTTTTAAAGCAGCCCATGGGGTTTGGGGATGGTTGTTGCTGCTTTACCTCTTTGACTCTCTGCTGCTCGCTGTTACACAGAAACGTCCCAAACAAGCAGCTGTACAGGTGGTCCAGGACGGTGATCAAGAAGCACTCGTTGAATTCAAAGGCGGTGGGAAACTTCAAAAGACAAGCGGTTGAGATTTTGTTTTCACTGGACACTTCCCCAACGGGACATGAAAACATTATTCCTGCAAAGTGTTTATACTCGAGAGAATATGGGGCTGGGGAGTATCGATGAGAGGAGAGGGGTGGGAGGGAAGGGAGAAATGGACCACCCCTCTTTTGACACCCAGTTAAGAATTTTATTTACAGGATTTATTGACCGGTTTCCACTGAGAGATCTCAAATCTATTTTATGTATTTACAAAAAAAACTATTTATACACCATTATTCTCTCTCTCTCATACATATATGGAGTGGTCATTATCACATCTTGTGGTAGTGAGTTCCACAAGTTAAATTACATATGCGTACTTTGTGCTTTAAAAAGCAACAATCCCCAAACACCACCCTTGTACCTAAGTAATTCGAATCCTCTCCCAATAAAAGCCCCTTATTTAAAAAAAACACAATAAAAATCCCAAGCTCTGTCCCAACAAAAGCCCCGTATGTACCCCTAGAAATCTACCTGTCTTGTCATCTGCCAGACACAGTCCACAAACTGGAGGAAAACAGGAGATCTGTCTGCATCGGCATGGTTCCTGTCTCCGTGACCGACTCTCTAAAACAAAACGAGAGGCCACAGGATGTGTATCTGAAAACCAGTATCGTTTATACAAACAGGAGTCGTACAGATTAAATCGGGCAAATCACCAGTGTGCAGTCTACTCTGAGGATGACTTACCTGGATTAAGCCCTAAATGCGAGAGGAGAGCATAAACAGACCCAAAGGACACAAAGTGACATACAAATTCATTTGACAGGCATGGATGTACACTTTCCTACCATTTCTGTTCCGTAACGTATTTTTATTCTCTCTATGTTATAATATATTCATGCTTTTAAATGTACCATACTTTTCTTTTTCCAATAATTTTTAATTATTTTTTTTCCAAATATCTTAAACACAATTCAGCTTAACAATATTATTCTCCTTAAAATCTATATCTTATCCAAATTAACTTCCCTCCACCCCTCTTCTGGCTTCTCTACATTGCTCTTATTTAAGCGTGTTTACTATATATACGTTCTATAAATGCCTATAATTCCTTAATAAATTTTTGTATTATACTTTAAACATACAATCCTTATTATATTACAGCATTACATCTTATGGTCTAACCAAATGTTTACAATAAACGTTCTGAGTTTTATTTCAGTCCTGTGAGTGTCTTTATTTATATACAGTTTCCTCTAAGTATACCATAAATTTGGACCATTCTTTTTGGAATGTCTCATCGTTCTGCTGTCGGATTCTTCCAGTTAGCCTTGCTATATCCGCATACTCCAATACTTTCTGCTGCCTAAATGTACTGTACTTTTCCATGTATCTGACAAGTTTTTTTTATTCAAAAATCATGTTAAAAATTGGGGTTGTCTTACACATGGATAGTGTGTAGTGTCTTACATATGGATAGAGTTGGAGATTGTTATTGGTGGCTGCGGCAAGGGCTGGTGTTGACTGGGTGGGTGATTGACAGAGGATAGGTGGCTTTTCCGAGGCGTGCAAGTGGCATTGTCTGTCTGGCGGGTGAGCGATTTTCGGCAATACCCCCCCCCCCGAAAAAGCTCAACAATCTCCGCCCCCATTTTCTTAATTTTGAGTCCCCCAAAATAGGAGGAGTCTTATACACGTATATAAAAATACAATAAGTTGTTTGGAGAACAATAAGTTGTTGTTGTTGTTTTCTCCAGTCCTTGAGAAAAGTGGGCATATAGCATCAAGCTCATTACCCAAACCTCCTTGCCTTGCTTCCCTTTCTTAGACATTTTTGGAACTCCACCAATTCCTTGCCAACAGCCCTGCAGCAGGTGTCCCAGTTGTCTGCCCTCCTAAACCACCTCTTAAATCATTTAAGACAGTGGTTTCCCAATGGGTGGTCTGCGGATCTCAGGGGGTCCGCAAAACCCACCCAGGGGGTCTGTGGCACAATTCACACAACAAAAACTAACATAAAGATATCAAAAGTTTCAAAAGTAGGAGGTCCATGGCTTGGCTTTTGAAAAATAGGGGGTCTGAAGTATTTAGCTAATTGGGAACCACTGATTTAAGATATAGCAGAGAGGCATGTAATTTTAGGAGGTGAAACTTAATTTCTGCACTTTTCTTCAATGAGGGACCTTAAAAATATGTTTTTGGGTGTGAGGAATTCAAATCTACTGCTATTTTTGTGTTTGAACAACATTTAACTTGGCAAGTCTTTGTCTGACGAAGAAGCCCATAAGCTTCTTTTGGGAAACGAAAGAATGTTAGTTTTATCTTTTGAAAGTGTCAGGTAATGTTAAATACTAATACTACTAATACTAGTGATATAAGTGCAAGTATTTGGCAATCATTTTTAATGATTTCCATGCAATTTTTACACACGTTCCATTTACCAAGCAAAACAACATTATATTAATTCAACCAAAATATCTTTTGGATTCCCTGGTCATGTTACAACTTTTTAGCACCCCTCATTCCTGGAATGCGAAAGCTGAAAAATTCACACACACACCCTAAATTTCAGCAGTCAGTTTGGTAACTCCAGGGGTTGGCGACTCACCAGCTGGAATCTGTGCCCGAAACTCAGCCATTCCTTCTCCACCAGCACTTGAAAGCCCTGGATTGTCCGGTAGTAGCCATCTAGCATGAGCATGGCAAGTGAGGTGAGCTGGGCTGTCCGGTCCCAACCATCACTGCAATGCACGACCACGGAAGTCTTGCCCGACTCCACTTTGTCGGCAATACGAAGAGCACCGGCGAGAATCAACTGGGGAGAAAAGAGAATGGCCTGACATAAGACTATATAAAGCCTCCCCCCTCCCCACACGACAATTATAATTGAGAATGGGAACAAAGTCTTGGGTTTTTGTCTGCATAGCCAGGTTACAGAGGTGAGGACCAAACGAGTGAGAAAGGATGTTCCACAAGGAGCGATCACACGTCTTTTTTTCTTCTTTTTTTACAATTTTGCAACCTGCATGTGTTAGAAACTCAGGTACATAAGCTAGGCGCCCGACAGCTCTTTAAACCAGGGTTACATTCGCCAAAGCGGAATGCCTGGTTCCATTTTTGGGGCCGGATAATACGTCTTTTGGGTTCCTGAAATTCATTCTGATTGTGAAGATGGAATAAAACGGATAGAATTCTATAGGATGTGCTGCTAGTGTGTGAAAACGGTCAAGATCGAAGGACCCCCAGGCATGCACCTCCAGAGGTTGGAGACATCAGGCGCCATGCTGGTGCAGGGACATCTTCACTTGGTCGCAAGTGGACAATAGCAAGGTGCAAAACGCGCCTGGCGAATTTCGAATGCTGGATGTGTGCATTCATGCTAGAAAAATGCAACCTGTGCTGCTGATGGAAGTAGTGCTAAGCAAATCAGTCTCTTAAGCTTAAGCTATGAAAGAGTATTCTCTATAAGATTGAATATCAATATACGTATCAAGACTTTGAGATTAGACCGCTGAAGAAGCCCGGAAAACTATCTTGGGAGTGTGCTACCTGCAAGCCCCAGTAAAAAGGCCCCATTGGGGGTGAACAGCGGCCTTTTGACTACTTGGACTGCCAGGGCGAAACAGGTGCAAAAAGCCAGCACCCTGTCATCTACAACTTCATTGTCTACAACTTTATTAACATCTATCTACAACTCTACTAGCATCTCTCGGTATTGTGAATACAGTGGTGCCCCGCAAGACGAATGCCTCGCAAGACGGAAAACCCGCTAGACGAAAGGGTTTTCCGTTTTGGAGGTGCTTCGCAAAATGAATTTCCTATGTGCTTGCTTCGCAAGACGAGAATGTCTTGCGAGTTCCTGCGGGGTTTCCCCCCCCCTTTTTCCCAAGCCGCTAAACCGCTTATCAGCTGATGGCTAAGCCGCTTAACAGCTGATTGCTAAGCCGCTTATCAGCTGATCCGCTAAGCCCGCTAATACTGTAGCGCTAATCCGCTAAACCGCTAATGGGCTTGCTTCGCAAGACGAAAAAACCTGCAAGACGAAGAGACTCGCGGAACAGATTCTTTTCGTCTTGCGAGGCACCACTGTATCACCAAAATCACCTTTTGTTGGTATCGTCATGAACTTATCTAAAAGACTGAGTTAAGCATTTGAAAAATCTATTGAAACCAGACATTAGTTTATTTTAGGCTGGGTAGTTTGCAAGTCTTTGTGGCTTTGTTTAATGTTTTGTATTTTTCTCAGAAGGTTGATGAAGTATGTATAATTATAGTCCAACGCGTATGTGTGCATTCAGCAATATATAAAAGCACACAGAGGGCCCCGCTGGATCAGGCCAATGGCCCATCTGGCCCAGCTCTCTGTGTTCACAGTGGTCAACCAGAAGCTCACAAGCACAACCTGAGGGCAACAGCACCCTTCCCCACAACAGGTACTCAGAGCCACACTGCCTCCGAAAATGGAGACAGAACACAGCCACTGATAGCCTGATCTTGCATGAATTTCTCTAGTTCTTTCCGAAAGCTGTTGGCCATTGCTACCTCTTGTGGGAGTGAGTTCCACAGTTCCAGCTAAGGGCAGCTGCTTTCTATGTCTCAAAAGGGACAACGTGGGAGCATTTCAAGACTTCCTGCTCCTAAGGCTCATCATCTACACACTCCTTTAACAAACCACATATTTTTCAGTTTTGTCTTCTCCCTCCCTCTTTCAAAAGGTGGGGCCGGGGGAGAGAGGCAGCCAGGTTCCTACATAAAACACTCAGATGAATTAAGCTTCCACTCTCGATGGTCTCTTAGCTGCAATGTTGCAGCAGCTTCAGCAAGGTAAGTCACAGAACATCTAGGCTTCTGCATCTCTGACGCTGCAATTTGCTGGTGCTGCAACCTGCCAAGGATGGGGGGAAGTTGCCGAAACCACACTGGTAGGAGAACCCACACATTGCCATTCACACACACACACACACACACACACACACACACACATCAACGTACCTTGATGTGTTCCAGCCAATGGGTGGATTCCAAATTAGACAGCCAGTGCGTCTCTTCTATGTTGGGATAGACAATCTCTTTCAGTTTCCTCAATGACTCTCTCATAACGTGGATATTATGGATGTCCAGGAAAACCAACTCTGCGTTCTGATAGGCGTCCTCACTTTCATAACCTCCTCCTTTTGCCTGAAGAAGAAAATGAAGGTTAGACCGCCTTTGTCCTGAGTAAGACCCTAAGACTGCAGGTTGAACTTTCGCCTAGTGTGTTGCCCTACGGCAGGGAGAGGGAATCTGTGGTGCTCAACAGATGTGGCTTATGGGATAGGACCATCCAACTTTTTAGAATGCCTTTTGGGGAATGAGTGCTACATTAAAAAATGCTGCTTTGATTTACCACTCTTTTAATTCTACTGCCCCTTTCTAATTGTATCAATCAGAATCAAGTGTTCTGCTGGGCTAGATCCAAGCCAGCCCTTCTTGGCTCAAGACCCCGGCTGCATATACACACAGAGCACATGGCTTCCCCCCAAATAATCCTGGTAACTGTAGTTTGTTAAGGGTAGTAAGGAATTGCAGCACGGTGAGGGGTAAACTACAGGCCCCGGGATTCTTTGCAGCCCCAGCGAAGGCACCTGCTAGAGGAAGGACAATTATTGATCAATTCCTCCTCCTTTCCTTTCTTCAAGTTCCAGAACAATCTCCCACACTTTTCCAGAGCTTCCAACCCTCCAGAGAACATTTCTGGGAGGAAACAGGGGAGGGAGAATCTTATACAGTATCAGGTTTTCGGTTTGTTTGTTTTTGATTACTACTCAGATTCTCAACACAGTTGGGTAAGAATGGGGAACCTTTTACAGCCAATGGCTTCTATTCCCTTTTTTGGGCAACATTTCAAGGGCCACATGCCAGTGGCAGGCAGGGCCAGTGCCAAAAGAGGGTGCAGAAACCAAGGAAAACCTTACCTCTGCGCACCAGGTGAGTTTTTGCACACACTTATACACCCAGGCGGGATGTGGGTGGCACTGTGGGTTAAACCACAGAGCCTAGGACTTGCCGATCAGAAGGTCGGCGGCTTGAATCCCCGCAACGGGGTGAGCTTCCGTTGCTCAGTCCCTGCTCCTGCCAACCTAGCAGTTCAAAGGCATGCAGTGCAAGTAGATAAATAGGTACCACTCCAGCGGGAAGGTAAACGGTGTTTCCATGCGCTGCTCTGGTTCACCAGAAGCTGCTTAGTCATGCTGGCCACATGACCCGGAAGCTGTACACCAGCTCCCTCGGCCAGTAAAGCGAGATGAGCGCCGCAACCCCAGTCGGCCACAACTGGACCTAATGGTCAGGGGTCCCTTTACCTTTACCTTTATACACCCAGGCATTATCAGAGTTCAGGCAAACCAAACCAGGGCCAGTGAGTGGGTTGGGAAGGGAACAGAGGGCCAGACAGAGGGGCTCTGAGGGCCACATCTGGTACCCAGGCATGAGGCTCCTGACTCCTGCTGCTGGGAAAGGCATGATTATCCAACCTTGTTGGCTACAGCATTCACACTTGGCCTGGCATCGAAGATGAATATCTTGTGGGACTGAGCGTTGGAGTCCATGACGGACTGCAGATACTTCTCGTCCTCTTTGCTCCGTTTCCCGCTCACGCCCACCATCGGCTGGCTGCAGCGCGTGACTGTGGCTTGGCTTTCCGGGTGAATCCAGGACAAAACCTTTCGAGGAGAAGGAAGGCTTTATTTATTCAAAAAGAAAAATAAATATGAGGCCGAAGAAACAGACCACATCTGCACCATACATTTAAAGCTACTACGCCTCTTTAAACAGCCATGGCTTCTCCCAAAGAATTCTGGGAGCTGTACGTTAAGGGTACTGAGAGGAGTTGCTGTTGTTGTTGTTGTTTAGTCGTTTAGTCATGTCCAACTCTTCGTGACCCCATGGACCTGAGCACGCCAGGCACTCCTGTCTTCCACTGCCTCCCGCAGTTTGGTCAAACTCATGCTGGTAGCTTCGAGAACACTGTCCAACCATCTCGTCCTCTGTCGTCCCCTTCTCCTTGTGCCCTCCATCTTTCCCAACATCAGGGTCTTTTCCAGGGAGTCTTCTCTTCTCATGAGGTGGCCAAAGTATTGGAGCCTCAGCTTCACGATCTGTCCCTCCAGTGAGCACTCAGGGCTGATTTCCTTAAGAATGGAGAGGTTGGATCTTCTTGCAGTCCATGGGACTCTCAAGAGTCTCCTCCAGCACCATAATTCAAAAGCATCAATTCTTTGGCGATCAGCCTTCTTTATGGTCCAGCTCTCACTTCCATACATCACTACTGAGGAAACCATAGCTTTTACTATACGGACCTTTGTTGGCAAGGTGATGTCTCTGCTTTTTAAGATGCTGTCTGTTGTTAGGAGGCCCCAAAGAATTTTTCGATGTTTTTTTTAGGATTCCCCAGAACGGTTCAGCAATCAATCTCTCTTCACACGGAACTCTGGGAATTGAAGCTCCGGGAGGGGAATACGGGCCTTTAACTACAACTCCCAGAATTCTTTGGAAGAAGCTGTTTAAAGCAGTACGGCGGTGCTTTAAAGGCATGGTGTGGCTGTGGCCACAGTAAGAGACAACGTTAAGCTTACAGGTATGCGTCCCCTGGATCGGAATGCAGCTACTCGCTTCAGTTCCTCGTCCGAGATGTTGGCAGGAACCACCAGGAGGGCAGGGTAGGTGTCGCACAGTTCGTACTGCTCATTCACCTTGGTAATTCTCCAGCTTTCATTAGGAATTCCCTGTTTTGGAAAGAGATAGAGATGTTTGGGCTTCCCGTTCCCATCATTCAAATGGAATATAATAATATAATAATTCTTTATTATTTATACCCCGCCCATCTGGCTGGGTTTCCCCAACCACTCTGGGCAGCTTCCAACAGAATATTAAAATACAGTAACCTATTAAACATTAAAAGCTTCCCAAAACAGGGCTGCCTTCAGATGTCTTCTAAAAGTCTGGTAGTTGTTTTTCTCTTTGACATCTGATGGGAGGGCGTTCTACAGGGCGGGTGCCACTACCGAGAAGGCCCTCTGCCTGGTTCCCTGTAACCTCACTTCTCGCAGTGAGAGAACCGCCAGAAGGCCCTCGGCACTGGACCTCAGTGCTTGGGCAGAATGATGGGGGTGGAGACGCTCCTTCGGGTATACTGGACTGAGGCCCTTTAGGGCTTTAAAGGTCAGCACCAACACTTTGAATTGTGCTCGGAAATGGAAATGGAAGCGCTTACATCAATACCTGCCTAAAATGTAACAGGAGACAAAGGGAGTCAAATATACTAGAGGAATGCAGGTTGTTGGGGAACAACAGCAGAAGAAGGTTTAGTGCTTATGTCCCAGCTGATCCAACAGGACGCTGATAGTAATAATAATAATATTTATATGCTGCCTATCCAATTAGTTTGCCTCAGCCACTCTGGATGGCACCAAGAAAATATTTTTTTAAAAAATAAAACATCAAACATTAAAAACTTTCCGATACAGGACTGCCTCCAGATGTGTACAGAAAGTTGTGTAGTTATTTATCTCCTTGACATCTGGTGGGAGGGGGTTCCACAGGGCAGGCGCCACTACCGAGAAGGCTCTTTGCCTGGTTCCCTGTAACTTGACTTCTTGCAGTGAGGGAACTGCCAGAAGGCCCTCGGAGCTGGACCTCAGTGTCCAGGTAGAACGATGGGAATGGAGATGCTCCTTCAGGGTATACTGGGCCAAGGCCATTTAGGGCTTTAAAAGTTCAAGGAAGTTATTTAGGATTTCTACCACCACCGTTCTCCAAAACCCCCCGGCAATCTAAAAATGATTTCGGAGCTGGTGACAGGGGAAGCTGCCTTTCACAGAGTCAAATCATTGGTTCGTCCAGCCCATTACTGCTTACACCAGGCTTCCTCAATGTTTTGAGACTACAATTCCCATCTTTCCTGACCACTGGTCCTGCTAGCTAGGGCTCATGGGAGTTGTAGGCCAGAAACATCTGGAGGGCTGAGTTTGAGGAAGCTTGGCTTAACAATGACTGGCAGTGGTGCTCAAGGGTTTCAGACAAGGGTCTCTGCCTGGAAATACCAGGGACTGAACTTTCCACATGCAATGCAGATGTTCTGCCAGTGAGCTATCTATGGCCCTTCCTGAAGGCATATGCTGTTGCTCCTTGCTTCCGTGATAAGAACACAGCCATCGAATATGAATTGTAGCACAATTCAAGCATCAAGATGCTCATATGCTTGGTATCTAATAGACACACACACAGATAGTTGGTATCTCCTGATAAAGGTCCTCATGTAGCCACAAAGACTTTGAACTGAGACCTTGGGGAGTTGAGCACTACCTTAAATTGACCAATATAAACTCCATATAAATCCCCTTATGAATAACCTTTCGGCAAGATTGTCATAGGTCGCGGTACAGAATGCAAGACGAGTGCTTTCTTCTGGCGAGACAGAGCCCATTGCGCCTTTGGGTGCTTTTGGTTCACTGAGCCTGGGAGAAAGTAACAGCATACAATACAGGCTTGATGCTGCTTTTTAAATTTTGATTAGCCATTGGCCCGCCTTCCCCAACCTGTTGCTCTCCAAATGTTTTGGACTACAACTCCCATCATCCCTGACCTCTGGCCATGCTGACTAGAGATGATAAGGAGCTGGAGCCCCAAACATCTGGAGGGCACAAGTTGGGGAAGGCTGCAGTCCAGGAGTGTCAGAATTCCTCCTTGCTCTTGCCACTCATGGTGGCTCCTGAGCCAGAATTTGACCAACCAAGTTAAAAATTATTTAGTGCAGTGCTTGACCTGGGCCCAGCTTGGACTTGGGTTAATAAGTTCACCTACAGGTCAGAGGTTCCTCAAGCCTAAATCAATAGTATACAATTCTGACATACAGGAAGGAGTGTAAATCAGAGGTAGAATGGAGGTGCTTACCTGCCTCCTGTACTCCACAACAGGATCATAAACCTTCCAGCCATTTTCTGGGAAAACTTCTTTGTATTCAAATGCAAAAAGAGACTTAAAAACAAGAGAGAGAGAGAAAAAATCAGTTCTTTTCAGCTCATTTTCCATTTTATTTGGCATCTCCAATAACAATTTCTGCACAGTCTTTTTTGTTTCTATAACACTGAGGCATGAACGAAAAGAAACTGTCTTTGTACGTTGTAATTAACACATCAGTGTACACGTCTTCATATTCCTTTGTATTCTGATCTATTACCTACAAAATCTCCATGGGGGTGAAAAAGGGGGAGAAAAGGGGGTTGGGGAGAAAAGGGACTTTGTGCGAAAAGAATTATTTTTTCTGGCAGTGTAAATACAGAGCAGTCTTTCAAGGCAACATCACATGGATGACACCTATTCCGTTTTTGTGATGGTTGCCTATGGCAGCCATTTTGTGCCAGCACCCACAGCACAATTATAATTATAGAATGATAGAATTACAGAGTTGTAGAGTTGGGAGGGACCCAGAGAGTCATCTAATCCAACCCCCTTCAATGCAGGAATCTCAGCTGAAGCATCCATGACAGACGGCCATCCAACCTCTGCTTAAAAACCTCCAAGGAAGGAGAATCCACAACCTCCCAATGGAGACCGTTCCACTGTCAAACAGCTCTTACCACCAGAAAGTTCTTCCTGATCTTGAGTCAGAATCTCTTTTCTTTTAACTTGAAGCCATTGGTTCGAGTCCTACAAACTTTAATTATCATTAAAGTTATGACCTGCCCTTCACCAGAAAGTCTCAGGGCAGGTTACAACAATTTAAAATTCAAAATTAATTCACTTTACGAGTATCCTGGCTTTTTAAAACCAAAAACAGCCATGGGATGCTCATGTTTTGTGGTGCGCTATGAGGAGGTTACAATCAGTGGTGGTACCAATATTTTTCACCTCAGGAATGGCGAGGGTGTCAGGATCTCAACTGCCTCAATTTGGATTACAGTGTGCAGTTATGAGGTAAGCTAAACCAGCGATGACCTCGAGGGTTTTTGCCCGAGTCTAAGGCTGCAAGCGCCAGTAGATTTCCCCCAAAATTGCTGCTGGGAAGCTTGGGGAATAAAAGTTCCCAGGTCTCCCAGCTCAAGATTAAGCCGGAGCCACTGGGAATTCTTTTACGGTGTACCAGATCTAACATACACTAAAAGAGCAAGAAGAACATATGTTTAAAGAAGACTGGAAAACATTTAATGAGTATGTGGAAAATAACGGTGTACAGCTGAAAACGCTGGCAGCATTAAGATAAATTCAACAGAGTAAATAATTCTTGATGGATGTAGTAGTAGAAAACCAATTGGAATGGTTATTGTAAAATATGCAGGGATGAAAGATATGCAAAATGAACCATGGAAAGAGAAGAAGGGAAGTTGCTGGATATTTTAAAGTTTGTAAAATGTTTATTTGAAATTGTAAAGCAGAAAATTATATTAAATTTTTTTTACTAATGAAAGATTGTCATCCACTATGACCCGAAGTAATTTATCTCTTAAGAATGGTTAAATTCATGTCGATTTTACCATGCGTGCCACAAGAGCAACAGAAAAGCACTTACCAAATGATTTGACACGGGAAACGCGTATTTTGTCAAGTTCTCAAATATGGACCTTCTTGTGCGGCCCTCGGGGCGATGCGCAAACCGGAGATTCCGGACATCCTGAAAAATGTTAGGCCAAACTCAGCAGACCAGCCTTCTGCAATCGGGTGCCCTCCAAATGTCACTGGACTACAAATCCCATCGTTCCTGACCACTAGCTACACTGGTGGGGGCTCTTTCTTACCCCCAAGTAGAACTGCAATATCTTGATGGGGGCAGGAGTGGTGGAAGGGGAGAGTTAGGACACAGCAAGAAGAGCACCTACATGCCTGCAAGGATCAGACATCTTACACTTGACATCTTACACTTGACTTTACAGTGCAGAGTAGAGCCTTCTTTGGAATCCCAAAGACCTCATATTTCAGTTCAAATAGGAACAGATGCCAACGACAGAAACAGATGAGTCGTTCCCATGATGGACTGAAGGTCTAAAAGGCTTGGGATTGGTTTTGCAATGTTTCTGTGCATCTTCTTAAACCTCAGTACTATTGTTGTTGGCCTCTATCTGTATGGAGATTGTCACCCACTATATATTCAAAGTGTTGGTGCTGACCTTTAAAGCCTTGACCAGACTTTTGGAAGACATCTGAAGGCAGCCCTGTTTAGGGAAGCTTTTGTTTAATAGACCATTGTATCTTAATACATTGTTGGAAGCCGCCCAGAGTGGCTGGGGAAACCCAGCCAGATGGGTGGGATATAAATAATAAATTATTATTATTATTATTATTATTATTATTATTATTATTATCGAGAGACAATGGAGTGTGCCTCCAGGGGTGTTAGCAGCACCAAAGTGACCTCCCAGGCGCACAAGCCTGAGCAGTGTGTATGGAGGTCCTGGGCTGCCCAGATGATAAGACCCCCCCTCTCGGCCTCACTGATGTGGTCCAAAGGAAAGCAGAGCAACATGTTTGGCACCAGCTTGGCTGCAGGAGTTGCCAGAAGGAGGCATATGAGACACCATCCAACCGTCTCAGGGACTCCACTCTGGATTTGCATAGGGTTTACTCCTGAGCCTTTTCTTCCCCCAAAGATATCCTGCAAGGCAGTGGAGGTTTAGGATCAGAGTTTTCAATATAGAGCACTGGGGGGGGGGGGATATACTGTATTTTTCTGTGTATAAGATGCCCCCATGTGTAAGAGGACCCCTATTTTTTGAGCCCCAAATTAAGAAATAAATAATTGCAGCATTCTGTGTACAGCGGACCCTCGGATTACATTATCCTTGGGTAACATAACTTTTGGGTTGTGAATACGGCAACCCTGGAAGTGTATTCTTCCAGGTTTTGCCACGTGTGCATGCGCAGAAGTGCTCTATCGCGCTGCGCACATGCGCAGAAGCAACACCTCTACTTGGGGTACGTACGGACTCCTGGAACGAATTACATTTGTATCCAGAGGGTCCACTGTATAAGACGATTCCCAGTTTTAAACTTAAAAAAATTGGGGGGAAATATAGTCTTATACACGGAAAAATACAGTATTTTCTTCTTGGTTTAGCCAACTCAGCTTCAAGTCCTACATGGCAGCTTTCTGCAGGGCTGCTCTATTTAAAGTCAGCAAAGAGGAATTTAAGAACATGTGATTTTTAGGAACATAACAGACCACTGCTGTGGGGCAAGAACCTAGCCATAATTCACCAACCATAGATGGATCTGCTTTACCTTACACACAATCTCAAGGCCATATGAATTTTCGCCGCGGCTAGAAGCGCCTCCAATTTTCTCCACTCTGTTGATCACTCCCAGAGGACCGTCAAGAACGAACGGAGGGTCCTGGGGAGGAAATGTAGTGCGTTAATGAAAAGTCTAAAACCTCCTAAAACAAAGTACAGCCGTACTGTGGAAGTCTGTTCAACTTCTAAAACGTTCAGAAACCAAAGCGCAGCTTCTGATCGGCTGCAGGAAGCTCCGGCAGCCAATTGGAAGCTGCGGAAGCCCCATCAGACGTTCGGCTTCCAAAAATAGTTTGCAAACTGGAATAGTCTGGGTTTGCGCATTCGGGAGCCAAAATGTTTGAGAACTCAGCTGTTTGAAAACCAAGGGATGATTGTATTACTTTTAGACAGAGCTTGGAGCACCCAAAAGCTGAACATCTTGATGACGAGGCTGGAAATGCATTGATACATTTATTTTGTTACAGTCACATCCCACTTTTCTTTCCCCATAGAACATGGGATTCCCAGGTGGTTGCCCATCCAGGCACAGACCAGACTACTTGTGAAAAACAAGTGAAAAGTTGCTCAATTTGAGCCTTACCCTTTCCATGCTTTTAAAATATAGCCTGTAATTTGTAACTGTCAGAGTTCCTCTAATGGCGCCGGTGAATGGGCAGATATGAGTAACATCCTTTGCTAGGAGAAAGAAAGAAATATGTTATATATACATATTATATGTATTTCCACATGGAGGTGCTACAACGAGGCTTGGAACACCTTTCAATGTCTCTCAAAGCAGGTGAGGAGGAAGCTTTGAAGAGATGGAGCTGAACGAACAGTGGTTCTCAAAGGTAGGAGACAATGGTTAAGTGTTGAGGGAAGATTCAAGGGCAATCAAATAAGCATTTAAACATTTCAGTGCAGTATAGTATAGTATCATTTACTTTTTTAAAATTTGCAGAATATGATTTTCAAAATCAGACACAGCTAGGAGTTGCTTCTTTTTGCTTTCCAGAGTTATTTCTTATATATAAAAATAATTCAGTGTGGCGCAAGCAAATTTTTATTCGGAAAATGTGGCCCAGAGAAAAAAGCTTGAGAACCACTGCTATCCTTTTAAATATGTTGTGGGTGTGGGTGGGAAGGTTATTGTTTTGCTCTTGTTTTCATTATGTATTTTATGTTTTTATCTTGTAGTTTAATGCCATGAACCACCTTGAGATCTTCGGATGAAAGGTGGTATACAAATTTAATAAATGGAACAATAATAATAATAATAACTGAAGGTCCCACAATTCCTGGCCATTGGTCTTGTTTGCTGGGCCTGCTGGGATTTGTAGTCCAGCAACCCCTGGCGGGCCAAAGGGTTTCCTGCTCTAAGGTGAAATCAGCTCAACTTGTGCTTTTTCTTGCCACTGAAAAAAAACTTTAAAAGCCTCTTCTCAGTGGCTCTCCTTCAGTTTCACCAAGAGAAGTGGGTGCGGCAATGTAAACGAGGACTAAAGAAAGGAATTTCACACTTCATACCCACGCTCAGGCATATGGGAGTAGCATCATATAACACTGTTTATATCTATCCAGCCTAAGAGTACTGTTTTATGGATAGATAATGAAGATGCTGGCCCTTTCTGGCCTTCCTTAAACATCTTGGCCAAACGTGCTTTGCGCTTGTCCCTTCCCCCCAGCAAAAAACACACAAAAAACCCTCTGAAGTTCTTTAACAACTAACCCATCTGCAGTCATAGATACACGAGGGTTTTACATAACTATTTACTAGTTGGTTATCGTTCCTGAACACAGAAGGAATTTCAACAAAGGGGAAGAGCTTTCTGTTTAATCCTAATAAAAGAAACAGTGTGCTTTGTTCTGAGAAATGACTTCATGTTTTCCTTTCTCTCTCTTATAAAAGGGAAAAAGTGGTATCATCCCATTTCTTCTATTCCTTTTGAATAAATAAATGGGTTTTTACAATTGATTTTTCAACAAAAGCGACAAATAAATGGAGTACAATTAAGGTTGGGGGACGGAGGTCAGTTGAAGTACAAATGATAGGAGCTCAGTCTTGATTTAACATACAATATGCTGAAAAATAAAGGAATATCTGATATTAAACCATTGTGTCTGCTTGTCATAGCTATGGATGTGTAACCCAGTGCTATCTACCCGGGGGGAAAACATCAAAGAGAAATATCTGCACATACCCATGTCTTTAATGGTTTCTCCTGGTAGCAACGGGGGCTCCTCCATTTCAGCCAATTTATTAGATTCCCTGAGAACCTAAGATGAAAATCAGCTACATCAGTGTTAAATACCTTTTAAAAAGAAGATTATTTTATTGTTTTCCAGGTAATGGCAAGATGAACAAGCGCCTTTTCAAAGAAGTACAGCACTGATTTTCATAATAAAACAATACAAACGATATTGCCCATCACACAGAAGTATATTTCTACAGGGTGAGTCTTTTAAAAGAGGCCCCGTGAAACATGTATACTCTGTATCCACGGTGCCTCTTTTAAAAGACTCACCCTGTAAAAGTCTCCACATGAATTGGGAGCTCCACATTAATGTACTTTTTTGGAAAAGTATATGAAATAAAACTAAGCCAAGCTGAATCAGATAAGTTATCGGACTTCTGGGTGTTCCTTTGTGCAGTTCATTAGTTCTTCGTGGGGGTAGGAATGACTAAATCCCACAGTTGCAAAGACCAGGCTTGTTCATAAACCAACCCATCTGAAGTTTTACTCTTTCCATTCGTGAAAAAAATTATAATTATCCACTGATAATTGGATGCACAATAAATGAAATAATGGACAGTCTGCTGCCATTCTTTCAACGTGCCCAAAAATCAGTCACACGAGGCAGCTGCTTCGCTTCAGTTGTCACACAATTCCTGTCTGAAAGTTGCTTCTCTGTAGGACCTGCACAGCAAATTGTACATGTAGATTGCAATTTGTGAGAAACCTGTCTCCATAAGGGCAAAGGTGTGGGGGGGGAGCCTACTACCCTCCCAATGTTGTTCCAGATTGCCCAGCCAGCATTGACAATGCCCTGGGTTAAAGTAAGTGTGTGTGTGTGTGTGTGTGTGTTTGTTTTTAAAAACAAGATACTGACAACAAGGACATCTTGCATCAACTGCTGGAGTTACTCCTTTTGCACTTTTCTTTTAGGTAAAGGGACCCCTAACCATTAGGTCCAGTCGTGGTCGACTCTGGGGTTGTGGCGCTCATCTCGCTTTATTGGCTGAGGGAGCCAGCATACAGCTTCCGGGTCATGTGGCCATCATAACTAAGCCGCTTCTGGCGAACCAGAGCAGCGCACGGAAACACCGTTTACCTTCCCGCCGGAGTGGTACCTATTTATCTACTTGCACTTTGACGTGCTTTCAAACTGCTAGGTTGGCAGGAGCAGGGACCGAGCAACGGGAGCTCACCCCGTCGTGGGGATTCGAACTGCCGACCTTCTAATCAGCAAGTCCTAGTCTCTGTGGTTTAACCCACAGTGCCACCCGTGTCCGAAAAAACTTTTCTTTTACTTACGTGTAAACTGCTGCATATTTAGACCTGCACAGAATTATCACACTGCACCACCACAGGATTCTCACAACTTTCTACACAATAGATCTGCTGCAACCCCCCCCCCCAACAACAACAGAACAAAAAGCCAACTGCCTTGCTTTATTATGGTGGCGAAGGGGCTTTTTCTGGGGATTAAATAAACAGATGTGAGATGCGGGGGGGGGGGGAGAGAGAATAACTCAAGTCAGAATGATCGAAGCAGCCAGCAAAATCACTAATCCCATGGAAAAGCCTTGTGTCTTAATCTTTTGGTGTTTTAGAAGAGCGGGGGGAGAAGGAGGGAAATAAAATCATGCAGAAACACCATATGCAGATGGGTCGTTTTATGCCGTAGACTAGGCAGCCAATCAAGCAGCAGGCCGTAGGCTTGCCAGCCAATCAGATTCTGCAGATCATCTCGCAGCATCCCATTTTGCTTACAAACCGGACACAAAGAATTAAGTTAGCACCCTGCTTTGAAGTAGCAGAAATACAGAAAGTCGTCACTCATAGAATCATACGTTGTTGCTGCTTTTTTCTGCAAAGTGCTGCAACGTGGACTGAAAAATAAATAAATAGTGCAAGCGCCTAATTGGGCAGACACAGCATTTCTTACTTGAATGTTTGCAAAGTTTGCTAAGATCATCTACAAGCAGGTAAGGGAGTGTGTGTGTGTGTGTGTGTGTGTGTGTGTGTGTATACACAGTTAGCATTACCCAGCGCACAACTGACCGGCGTCTTCCTGCAATTGCCCCATTCAGTTTACTAAAACCCCAAACTCCAGTTTGGCGTAAACACAAGAGTAAAGGAAAAAATAAAAATAAAAAATACACACCTCGGTCCACCACATTTAATGGATACAGGAACCCCAACATTCCTGCAGTGACTTAGGGTGCTTACAGACTACCGCTGGGTTTAGTAGCATACCAGCAAATTTGTGTGGCATCATTAAAACTGATGTCTTGCGCAACGAGCCCACTTATAAAAACAATGATTGACTTTTTGCAGAAAGGAAAGTGGTGGGGAATTGTAGGCGAAAGTATGGGATAACAGTTGGTCTACACAACATCGCACAAACAAATTGGCATGAATGCTCAGCGAATAGCAGGCTTTCCCCCCATAAATTTTGTGCAACCAAATCAGGCTGAATGCCCAATAAACAGGTTGCCTAGAAGCAACCTTAGTTTTATCTGTTTTGGTTGGTTTGCCAAAGCTACCTCTGCCATATTTTCTCAGACTCCACCTTCCCCTGGGCCACACCTAGACCTTTCTTTGAAGGTGGGAAGAGAGGTAACTTAAAAGTTACACTTCTTCAAGTTACAGGTGATGTGAACGTCAATTCTGGCTGCCTTTGAGCAGCCTCTCCCCTGAAGCATCTTCTCCTAAATCAGATCCAGGAACATAGTGGCAACGTCTAACCCAGGAGGACAGAAAAGCTCACGCTATCTAGTTCTTCCCTCAGACAGCTGACTTTCCCCCCGATACAGATCTTCGCCCATTTCCCATTCATTCTAACATTATCCTCATAGAACGACATACATTTTCTTCCTCTGAAAACATCCCCAAAAGTGTTCAGACTGCACCCACCTCTCACGCCACTGTTAAATTAACTACAGCATGCCAATAAGCGGTACCGAAAACCCCTGTTTTTAGCTGTTAGTTAAACAAAGCAGAAGGGAAGTGCCAAGGGAAAACTGGTGCAATAGCCTTAATTCATCAGAGCTGCCCCCCAACCACAATAAAGGAAGTGGAGTGGGAGGAAAGTAAAGTGTCTTTGCCACTGTGTCAAATGATGGGAGCACTGGCTTCATCACCCAGGGATGAATTTCACGCGGGAATTTTGATCGCTGACACAAACCTGGAGCTGCAAATATGAGGCAGCGGTAGCATCTCTTTTAAAAATTCAAAGTTGAAAACCGGGCTTCCATCAGAGGCTGCCTTACACCTAGTCACTGGTCCCAGAATTGTCAGAACTAGCTAGCAGTAGCTCCCCGGGGTTTCAGAAGGGGAGTCTAACAACCCCAACCTGTTTGGAGATGCCTGGGATCCAATCTTTGGGTGCAAAATGCGCACTCCAAAAGCGAGCCACTGTGGCGTTCGTACGGAGCCCCCGGTCGTCTCATGGACTACTGACCCGTACACCACTAATCCGCTGCCACCAACCAGGTCCTCCCTGGTAAAATCACTTCAGTCTCAGTCAGCTGCTCAATTAATACAGAAGAGTGTATTTTATTTCAGACACAAACAACTTTTACGGCATTCCAAACGTGGTTGCTCTTTACTTTCTTAGTCTTATTTTCCTCTCTCTATCTCTTCTACCTCCCCACACAGCCCTAACTGTCTCTCTATTACCAACTACCTTTCCCAACCAGCCAACTCACTAAAACCAACCAGCTACCCACCAACAACTCCCAACGAACTGCTCCCAGAACTGGTTTTATAGTCCCACTGACTCCACCCCCCCCCCCGGTCCTGACTGGGCAACCTGTTTAACTATTTCCCCTCAAGCACTCTCTCATATACGTTAACGTCACAGCCACAAACCTCCTTGACAAAAAGAACGAGAACCTTCCTTGATCAAGACGGCACACAAAACCCACACATATTTGGCAATAATAATAGTAATCATTAACCATCTACTTTTGTTCAGATGCTCAGCAGGGCTACCTAAGCTAAAGCACAACTCGGACTGATTGCCTTTCAGACTCATAAGAGAGAAGAAGAAAATCCCTTACCCTGTTGTACATTGCAAAAAAAAGAAAAGGAAAGAAGTCTGAAGAAGGGTTCGTGGTAGGAAGGCAGGCAGACGCCTCAGAGGAAATAACGGATCACGTCCCAAGAGGGCATCCCAAGGCCGTGGGCGAACTCCCTTAAGCGCTCAGCTCCTCGCGAATGACAATCATAAATAGTTTCAGGGCGGCTTCCGCACGGCACATTTAGTGCCTATGCAAACATCTAGGGGACCTTGAACATTATTAAGATCACCTTCTCCTTTGGCTGTCTCTTGAAACATGAACATGCTCCAGAGGCACTTCCTTTCCCCCTTGCCTCAGAGACAGAAGATTGACCGAGTCTGGCTCTCCCTGATCTCATTTGCACTAAATCAATATATTGTAACCTGGGCCTTGACAGGTCTATGACGAGAGAGCTATAAATAGAGGGCAGGGGGAAAGGACACTTGGTATTAAAAGCGAATCCTGCTCAAATAAGCAGAATTCCTCCCTGTCAGGAGACAATTGGAGTGGGGGTTGACAGAAGAGAAACGGTAATGCTGAGCTTTCTTTGGAAAAGAAAGTACACAGAAAGAAGGCAGAGTCAGTGGATGAGCTAGGCTTGCCAAGGTCCAAGAAAAAAAGATGAGTTAAAAAGAAATTGCTGCACGACCTTCCTTCCTGTCAGGGTCATTTCAGACAATGCAGAAAAGAGAAGCTCCTGCATTGCCAACACAGGTTATTGTGGTTCCTGAAGGGCATTTCCATGTTTGGAAATATGAGGCAGCACACGTGTGTCCTCATGCACCCAAGCCAGTTGTAAAACTCCAACCCCCCACCCGTTCCTCGGCCTTCAGAAACTGAGGGCAGACAAAAACATGAATGACAGAGCCTTGTTAGCTGTGGCACCACAACCATGGAATGCCCTTTCAAGAAGGGAGGCATGCAGTGAAAACAATGAGCCCTTCTAGACGGGTGGGGTTTTTATTTTTGTTTTCTAGGTTTTGGCACAATAATAGTGCGTTAGTGTTGGATTTGTTCTGTTTTGCTAGTTGTTCCGCAATGTTTCCCCAGTGACATTATTACTGTCTGGAGGGGGCTATAGCGGAACAAAAGCGAGACAAAAAAAAGACCACTTGCAGCACGAAAAGTTACTGGATTTCAGTGGGGAAAATAAAGGACATGAACCAATTGGAAAGGAGCAGTATAATCTCACCCTAAGAGTTGTGGGAACTATAGCTTGCCAAGGAAGCCAAGAATTGCTAGGAGACCCACTGCTCCCCTCCCAGAACTACAGTTTCCAAAGTAATTTAACAACCAACCCCTCTTTCCAGTGAGCTCTGGTATATGTGAGCAGAACAAGGAGTCCCCCAACAGCTGCCAGCACACTTAACGAACTACAGCTCCCAGAATTCTTTGGGGGAAGCCACTGTTTAAAGTGCTTTCAGCGTATGGAGTGAGTGTGGCCAGAGTCTCAGCCCATTTCAGGTGACATTGGGGGGGGACATCGGTGCCACTAGAAAGCTGAAGCACAGCTGGTCTGAAGCGAAGCCCACATTTTGGGGCACAATTCCATGTGAGGGGGGAAAACCGAAATGCTGTCACAATGCGGTTAGAAATGAAGCCAAATACTGAAATAAGCTACAGTGCCGGAGAAAGGTGGCAGTAAATATCCCATCAAAAATCCGCAGTGCACGAGAGACCTGCCTTTGCTGCTCGATTCCTGTTTGCGCTGCCTCAGCGTCTCCTACACTGAACACGCACCCTTAAACTTGCCCACATTTCAATGGATGCCAGGACTTGATATGCCTCTCCCCTTCCATTCTGAACAGAGGAGAGAGACAAAGAGCCACCCCTCTGTGAGTGAGCACATTAATGGCTGAAATAGACCTATTTTCCCTCACCCCCTATTGCAGGGGGTACTTGATGTGGGGTACGGCATGCCTGCTCCATTGATTTATAAGCTGTGTATTAGTTATACACACACACACACACACACACACACACACACACACACAAAATAGACCGCTGTTTCATAAAAAAGATTATCAAAGTGGTTTTTAACAAAAACACATAAACCGTACAGTAAAAAACATATTAAAAAGTTAACAATGGGCATCAATCAGGGGCGTAGGAAGGAGTGTGTGTGCGGGGGGGTGCGGCCTACCCCAGGTGCCATCCTGATGGGGGAGTTGACAAAATAGCGGGCGGCACTCGCCGCAGGGCCTGCAATGCGCATGAGTCACATGTCTCGGCACCCGCAGGCTCCGCGCTGTCCGCCTGCTAACTCCCCCCCCCAGCTGTAGGGCAGCTGAGGCCCCACGGTATGCCCCATCCCTATGGGCGCCTGGCCCTGCCCCTATGGATGGTTCGCCCCGCCCCCGGGCATGCCAACCCAGGTGCCCAAGAGGCTTCCTTCGCCACTGGCACCAATTAACCATTGTGCTCCTGCCACTTTTTGTGTTGCGCCACCCGGCCAATGGCAGCCATTTTGTGTTATGTCAGCCACCCCAATGGCAGCCAACCCTATGATTCTATGAACGTTGGAAGTCAAAAACCCTTGCAGATCTCACTGCAAGTCACCATAAGTAGATCCGGATCTCCTTTCTGCCCACCTCTGCACTACAGGGTCAGGAGCTCGGCCTACACTCGAGTAGAACCCTGGCAGAGACACATGCACGACTGGCATGTTCTCTCCCTCCTGGTTGATCATTCGGGAGCTTCAAAAGCTTTCTTCAGCCCAAACATCACAGCGACCGATGCCAACCGACACCGGCACACTTAGGGATCCGCAGAGTTTGCGCATCATGCGTGACAGACCTCAGCAACTCAGCATTTTGGCTAATCTACTTTATTTACATGTAAACACACGCGGAGCACTGCAACATGGCTCCTTCTCTCTCTAGCATCAGACAGCAAAGAGAAAAAGAACAAAGGACAACAGTCCCACTTCACGGAACACAGTAACACAAACATCCTGTCTTCGTCACTTCCCACTCTGTGGAGTCAAAACACATACCGTCATGTGATAGACAACAATCCCATGACTGCAATCATAGAGCAGGAATTCTAACAGCGGCCTGTGCTGACCCTCTCCCAGATGGTACCAATGTAGTTCATACAGGTAACTTCCTCCCTGCCTGGGCTGCAGGAGTGTCTGGTGCAGAGGGGCACTACTAATCTGCTGCACTCGTGACAGCACCATCGTTGGATTGTGTGGGGCTGGGAAGGGTGTCAGTGAGGTCAGAGGTGCGTGGGAGCACCTATGGGTGCAGCTGTGATCTTGCCGCTGCCCTGCCCCAGTAAGTGACAGTGACCTCCTTCCTCCACACCTGCCGCTCCTGTGACATTATCAGGACAGATCAAAGAAAGCACTTCTTGCACAGCGCCTAGTTAAACTGTGGAACTCCCTCCCACAGGAGCAAGTAATGGCCACCAACCTAGGTGGCCTTTCAAAGAGGATTGAAGCCTGCCAGCCCCTACTCTAGAATGCAGATCAATCCCCTGAGCCCATTTTGCGGAAGCACACAGGAACATAGGAATCTGCATTATGCGGAGTCAGATCATCGATCTGCCTAGCTCAATACTGTCTACACTGACTGGCAGCAGCCCTCCAAGGTTTTAAGCAGGCATCTCTCTCAGATATATCTTGAGATGGCAATACTAGATGAATAGCCATTCTACATATGCAGCAAATCCCGTTGCTTCTCCTCTCCCACTTCCGGACTACAGAATTCAGAATTTCTGTGGGGAAATATATAGGGCTGTCATACGTCCGGATTTTCCTGGACACAGCCAGGAAACAAGCTTGAAAATGGCGTCTGGGCGGATTTTTGCTGAATCGCCAAATTGTCCGGGAAAACCTAGACGTATGGCAAGTAGGGTGTTTTTTTAAAAAGCATTGTTTTAGAATCCCAGAAAAGCCCCAAAATAGTTTTTTTTTTGGGGGGGGGAGGAGAGATGTTCTCAACAACTGAGAGAAAAAACTCCTCAACAACTTTTCTCTGAATTTTCACTTTTGGTAATATAGCAACATGCCGTCTCATGTATTAATCAACATACATCAGGAGATAATTAATCTAATTGTAGCCTCCTCTTTGTACTACTATTTTTCTACGTATAGAAAGTTCTTCTTCAAGGAGGAGCCCCGAAACTCACGGCTCTCTTGTCTAAAGTTTAACAAAACATTACCGTACCACAAATTCAATAAAAAGAAAAATGAATGATCACATGACTCCGCTGCTGCACATGCAGATTGGCTTACCCTTAGATCCGGAGAAAAATTTTCTGTGGAAGTGGAGACGGAATCCGATGAGACGACAGAAGCAGATTTTGTACGTGCCGAATGATCTGAATGAGAGGTGGAAGCACTAAAGGAGGAGGAATGAGGGGGAGAAGGATGGGGGGAAAAGAAAGTTGTTTGGTGTTGCAGTATTGTACATTCTGGAGAAATTCCTTCACAGATCTGCTGTGATCAAGAGGCCCAAGGACATTTGGTGCTTAGTCTTTTAACTATTCTGAGGTGGAGAAAGTAAAAAAGTTCATCAGGCCGTAACATGAGGGTATGGTTAAGGAGCAAACATTACAATTTATTTGGACGTCACAATAAACCATAGCCTATCAGAACTGGAATGATCCTACCCTCCAACCAGGCTCGTGAATATCTCCTCTGGTGCAGTCTAGAGGAAATTAATCAGATTTTAGTATTACGTCCGAGCGATGTAAACTATGAAATAAGCCAGCTTCGCAAGCCACAGTTTAAAGTAGGTTTGTTTCAAACAAACCACAGTTAAGAGATTAATCAGTTTGTTGCGGTCATACAACACAACAAGCTGCGACTAATCGAAAACGGAGGCAAAAGTTTCTAAGCCATGCCAAAGGAAGAGTCTGTCAGGATAAGCCATGGTTTGTTATACTGACATCTGAATGCAGACAGGGTAATGGAACTCTAGAGCAGCCGCTCTCAACTTTGGGTCCCCATATGTCATGGGACTACAACTCCCATCGTCCATGACCTGCTAGCTATGGATGATGGGAGTTGTAGTCCAACAACTTGAAAAAGGCTGCTCTAGAGGTAGAATTCAATCCTTCTGTTCAGAATCAGCAATGCCACTGCTGGGGTCGGGGGGCAGAGGAGCGCCTCCCCTCCGTGCTAGCCAGTCTTCCACACCAGCCCCTCCTGTTTGGGGTTACTTCGTTTAGAATAAAGGTGAGTAACAGCAGATTGGTGGGTGTACAAAATTATATACACTGCAGAGAACATGGATAGGGAGGCATTTTTCTCCCTCTCTCATAATATTAGAACCGAAGGTCATCGGATGAAGCTGGACGGGTGGCGAATGAGAACAACAGACAAAAGAAAGCATTTCTTTCTTACCCATGATGATGGTTATATGTTACATCCAAAATCATCATCTCACACAACTGCGATTCCTGACCGTGTGGGGAATGTCTACACAGGAAGCCTTTTCAAACGGCTGCTTTTCAAACATCCTGTTTAATGTCGAAATTAGAGGGAGGGCCAGAGGGGCATGATGACACCAGGGGGGTGGGAGAAGGCCAATATTTGCAGAGCCCCTGCCCACATTTAGCCTCTGTGTGTAGGGGACAGCAGAGGGGCTATGGATTAATATGAATCCACTGTTTACAGCTATATCTTAGCACGGATACCTGCCGATGGAAGGTATTTTTATATTGTGAGCCGCCCTGTGGTCTTTGGAGAACTGAACATGCGGCAGAGACTGTGGTAGCTTTAAGAAATATTATTTATTCACCTACTGACACCTTCAATCTGCATGGAGGGAGTCCAGATCTTACAGCATGCCTCTATCTCAGGTGAGGCCTGCCTTGGAAAGGAAGCTTAAACCTGTATTTTCCCACAGGCCTGCAATATTCTCTTCACAAATAATCAAAATCCTACCATATTATTAATTTCTAGGGTTTAGGGCATGGGTAGGCGGGACGCGGGTGGCGCTGTGGTCTAAACCACAGAGCCTAGGGCTTGCCAATCAGAAGGTCTGCGGTTCGAATCCCTGCGACAGGGTGAGCTCCTGTTGCTCGGTCCCTGCTCCTGCCAACCTAGCAGTTTGACAGCACGTCAAAGTGCAAGTAGATAAATAGGTACTGCTCCGGCGGGAAGGTAAACGGCGTTTCCGTGCGCTGCTCTGGTTCGCCAGAAGTGGCTTAGTCATGCTGGCCACATGACCCGGAAGCTGTACGCCGGCTCCCTCGGCCAATAAAGGGAGATGAGCGCCGCAACCCCAGAGTCGGCCACGACTGGACCTAATGGTCAAGGGTCCCTTTACCTTTACCTTAGGCAAACTAAGGCCTAGCGGCCGGATCCGGTCCAATCGCCTTCTAAATCCGGCCCATGAATCAGTGTGTTTTTACATGAGTAGAATGTGTCCTTTTATTTAAAATGCATCTCTGGGTTATTTGTGGGGCATAGGAATTTGTTCAACCCACCCCCCCAAAAAAATATAGTCCGGCCCCCCACAAGGTCTGAGGGACAGTGGACCGGCTCCCTGCTGAAGAAGTTTGCTGGCCCCTGGTTTAGGGGGACCCCCCCCAAAAATCTGTAACAATAATAGAATCATAGAGTTGGAGGGGACCCTGACGGTCATCTAGACCAACCGCCTGCAATGTAGGAATATGCTGTTGTCCTTTGCAGGGATAGAAACTGTAGCCTTGTCACTATGAGCATCATGCTGTAACTGGCTGAGGTATAACAATATAGGAATCTTCCCTTTACCGAGTCAGACTATTGGCCCATCTAGTTCCATATTGTCTACACTGGCTGGCAGCAGCTCTCCACATTCCCAGCCCTACCTGAAGAGGATGGGGATTAGGCCTTCTGCAAAACGGATGTCCCAACCTAGGTTCAGATCAGTCCACAAAATCTTTGTGCCACAATAAATCTGTTAAGCTACCACAACGCTCTTTCCTCGTGTAGGCTCTAGCGTATGACCAAATACCCTGGCGGAATTTATCTGTAGGATATATTTTCCCAGAAGCAAATTGAGAAAGGTACCCTAGACTCGGACCATGGGTGAGCTTCTTTCTGCATCCATTTGATGATCACACAATAGCCTACAGCATCCCAAGCAGCAGTCACACACTATTAGACCTTTTTTTTTTTAATACTGGATTTTGTGGGGTGGGGGAAGCTAAATTACAGAATTCCTGCAGCCTGTGTAAGGCGCTTGGTAAACAAAGCCTGAATTGTTTGGTCCTTTTTTGCTCCACTCCAAGAACAGAAAGCCAACCAGGCATTGAAATGCAATACAGTGTTCCTATGGAACAATCCTCAGGCTCCAGTGAATCAGGCCATTCATGAGCCAAAAGGCCTCTCTAGGAGTGCAACCCTTTGGTTTTGGCTATAGAACCCAGCTTCCCGAGAATCTTTTGTTCTCCCTTTCTTTTCTTTTCTTTTTTTAAAATAGCATGTTTCTAGACCTTAAGGCTATGGAAGGCAAGCTTGAAAGTCGATGAAGGGAGAAGAACCTCAAGACTAAACTATACACACACATATACCGTATTTTTCGCTCTATAAGACGCACCAGACGACAAGACGCACCTAGTTTTTGAAGGAGGAAAACAAGAAAAACAATATTCTGAATCTCAGAAACCAGAACAGCAAGAGGGATCATTGCGCAGTGAAAGCAGCAATCCCTCTTGCTGTTCTGGCTTCTGGGATAGCTGCGCAGCCTGCATTCGCTCCATAAGACGCACACACATTTCCCCTTACTTTTTGGGAGGGAAAAAGTGAGTCTTATAGAGCAAAAAATACGGTATATGTAGTGATTTAAGCCACTTGCAACTGCTTTGTATTCAAAAAGGAAAATAAGTCAGGGGGGAAAGGTGGAGTTTAGCATTTTCCAAGCTAGCAGGGTGCACTCAGAATTTCTTCCCACACCACCTGCTTTGCCAGCCACAGGGGGAAAAGATAATGGAGGTTCAACATTCCACCCAACAGTGACAAATGGCTATTAGGTCCATAAATTGCCATATAGCATATATTCAATACAAAAAACAATGACAATTTGTTGTTGACAAAGTACAGCTGGACATATAAAGGGCCCCATTACCTTCAGTAGCTTAGGTAAAGGTAAAGGGACCCCTGACCATTAGGTCCAGTTGCAGATGACTCTGGGGTTGTGGCGCTCATCTCGCTTGACTGGCCGAGGGAGCCGGCGTAAAGCTTCCAGGTCATGTGGCCAGCATGACTAAGCCGCTTCTGGCGAACCAGAGCAGCGCACGGAAACGCCGTTTACCTTCCCGCCCGAGCGGTACCTATTTATCTACTTGCACTTTGACATGCTTTCGAACTGCTAGGTTGGCAGGAGCAGGGACCGAGCAACGGGAGCTCACCCTGTTGCGGGGATTCGAACTGCCGACCTTCTGATCAGCAAGTCCTAGGCTCTGTGGTTTAACCCACAGCGCCACCCGCGTCCCTTAGGGCCTCATCAAACCTAAATCTGGCCCTGCTGCCAGTGAAACTCCGTGTGCACTGCCATCCAGGCATGTGCTGCTGTGATCTTAGATGTACACACCTCAAGTTAGAAGCTGGTTTGAGGGGAAATTCATCAAACAGCAGCATTTCTCAAGAAGCTGTAGAACACCTAGGGATTGTGTACTCAGCTTCAAACACCTGTAGTGGGAGCACACGGGAGCCAGAGTATACAATAATGCGTACACAGCCTCAGAGTCAGGCAGGAATACCCTGCACAACTATTTGCCTTTCTACATCACTAGGCGGAATCTGTTCAGTGTGGTTGTATTTTTTTTTAATGCTTTATTTATTGCTGATGGCGACTTTTGCCTTGTTACGATTATGGACTTTTGTCATGTTGCAAGCTGCCTGAGCATGGTTTGAACTATGGAGAGGCGGCATAAAAATAAAATTATGTATTATATTGCTGAAAAAAAGACATGCTAATATGCTTAGATTAAGAATGTAAATGCATCAAAACAATAAATTATCAATGACATATGTATGTATATTGAGAAAACAAAAACAATCAGAATGCAATGATAAGGGTAAAATTGATTCTAGAGAAGATGAGTAGCGGTGGAGGGAAGTTAAACAGGGTGGTGGGTTTATTTTATTTTGTTTATGTTTTTTCTTTTTCTTTTTCGGATATTGTATAATGATTTAATGTATAATGATTTAATGTTTCTTTTCTGTTGTGTATTATTTCTCATTTTTTAATTAAATTGTATGACGGAAAATCTAAATAAAAATACAAAAAAAGATGGAAAAAAAGAAACAACTGTCATATCAGTCTAAAATAATAATAAAAATATTATGTACGCATGGAAATAAGGAAATAAACCTTCAATTTAAAGCACATTGACGCCCCTTTAACGGGCATCGTTTCCCCCCCAAATCAACTGGACTGAATCATCCAGGGGTCCTTTACCTTTTTTTACAATGGAAACTGTAGTTTAACCCTGACAGCGCTACACTTCCCAGCACCCTTAACAAACCTGAGTCCCCAAGATTTTGGGGGAGTAGGGGACACTGTGTTTACAATGTATGGTATGTTTGCGACCAAGGTTTATGGGGAAAGGATCATGACTAGGTGGTGGACGACCCAATTTGCACTCAAAGGGTCAAAGCTTCTATTCCTGGCATCTCTAGGTTTTGAAAAAGTAGGTGGTAGATTCTCTGCCTGGAGAATCCCTGGCAGGTTACCTAAGTACCTGAAGGAGCAGAAGAGATTTTGTTGAGGCCCTTCTCCAGGGGTCTTTTTAAAACAGTTCCCAGAATTCCCTGGGAAGAGAGACTGGTAAGCCACTCTAGAAATTGCAGCTGGGGGGTGGGTTGGAATAGGGGTCTGCTAACAACACTCTGCACCTCTAACAAACTACAGTTCCCAGGATTCTTTGGGAGAAGTCACAACTGCTTCTCAAGTGGTATGATGCTGCTTTAAATGTCTGGTGCAGATGGGGCTACAATCAAGATGGATTGCCAGTTCACCCACAACCCTGCCTTAAAATATGATAGGTGAAATTCAGCGTTCCAAATCAAGGATGTGATCAACCTTGCAAGGTAGTCGGGTCAGGAAAAATGAGGCAATACTAAAGTGAGAAATAAAATAAATAAAATAAGAAAATGTCCTCTGATGGAATAAATTAAAAGAAATAAAGATATACAAACACTTCCATTAAGGACGAAATAAAAATAAAGCAAAGACACACAGAGATAAAAAAAACCTCACACACACAATCCTACAAGCATTGTCCTCTATTTCCCACCACGAAATAGCACAGCACGGTGAATGGCCCAAGTATCCAAAACCTCACAGGGCGCAACCCTCTCCGCATTTACTCGGGAACAAGCCCCACTGTGTTCAGTAGCACTTACTCCCAGGTAAACTCACGGGATTGCAGCATTAAAATGTTTGGAATCCGCCCCCGCCCTGTTCTATTCAGCGCTCGTTCCTCTGCGTGTTTACTCAGATGTAAGCCTCGCCGAGGGAGGGGTGGGGAAACAGGGTGCGCTCCCGAGCGCAGGGGACCGAAGCCGGCGCTTCCTCCGCGGGTTGATGGGCTCCTGTGCAAAGCGCGCTGAGGATCCCGCTGCAAGGAGCGCGCTCGGCCTCGGGTGCCCTGGAACCACCCGGAACCCCCGTGCGCTTACCAAGAAGAGTGCCTCTGAGCATGTGCAGTTCCCCGATCGCACCCAGCCCTCCCCTCCCCCTGGGTTTAACCACACAAGCCACTCAGGGGCAACGGGCGCAGTGTGTGCGTAATAGCGCACCTGTCTCCAGCACTGACCTGTGCCAGTTAGAAGCGCAGGTTATGGAAAGGGGATGGAGGGAATATGGGGGTCCGCTTCCTCCCCCGCAGAACAAACAAACCAACCCCTAGAGATACGAAAGCGCCAAACAACAACACCCCCCGCCCCCACTCTCTCCTCCAGGGCTTTCCCACCCTGGAGGGTGAAGGCCGGTTTTACCTGGAGAGGGAATCCGGGCTGGGCTGGCGGGTGGCGGGCGGAGCCTCCTTGGAGGCGATGCTCTCGCAGCTGGAGCTCCTCTCCATGCTGGATCTCCTTAAGGGTGTGCAGAGGTTGTGTGTGTGTGTGTGTGTGTGTGTGTGTGTGTGTGTGTGTGTTGCCGGCGGGGGGAAAGGAATCCCCTCCCCGGGAAATCAAAAGAGCAGAGCGGATTGTCAAAAGAGTGGGAAGCCGAGAGTGGCGAAGGAAGCTGCCATGTTAGCCCACAGTGCTGTGCGCACGGCCGGGGCGGATGATGCTCCGTCCCTCCACCCCCTAAGGGAGGAGGAGGAATCTGCATCTCTCCTGCGCCCGGGAGGGCGGGAAAAGGAGGAGGCGGAGAGGCTTGCACGACCCGCTTGTCACCATCCTCGTCTTCATTTTGGTCCCAGACGGCTGCCTCTGGTTTTTGTGTGTCTTGGAATTAAGGAATTGAGCTCTGTTCGGCGTGGGCTGCCCCCGCCCCCAACAAATCAAGTAAATAAATCAAAAAATACTCGTAGAAAGATTTTGACACACCTTTCTGAGCACTTGGGGTCATAGAATCAAAGAATTTGAAGGGATCTTGAGGACCACCCTAAGCCCAAACCCCTTGTTAGGCAGGAATATTCAGCTGACCACATCTGCAACCTTGACGTTATTAGCACCACGCTCCAACCAACTGAGCTATGTCCGGGGTCGAAAGAAATTAATTGAAGACAGCTGTCGTTGAGACTATTTCCTTCCGAATCTGTTAGATCATGGGTAGGCAAACTAAGGCCCGGGGGCCGGATCTGGCCCAATCCCCTTCTAAATCCGGCTCATGGATGGTCCGGGAATCAGCGTGTTTTTACATGAGCAGAATGTGTGCTTTTATTTAAAATGCATCCCTGGATTATTTGTGGGGCATAGGAATTCATTCTTTTAAAAAATATAGTCCAGACCCCCACAAGCTCTGAGGGATAGTGGACCGGCCCCCTGCTGATAAAGGTTGCTGACCCCTGTGTTAGACAGAGCCAGACAGAGGATGAGGACAGCAGTCGGGTGTCCTGCCCCCTCCCAGCATAAATCTTGGCTACGCCCATGCCCACAGGGGCACCGTTTGGTTGCTGTCGGTGCTTGAAGAACTGGGGTCTGAAATCCTCGCTGATCTATGGTAAATGGCGCAGCATTAAACTGCGGAACTCATCGCCACAAGATGCGGCAATGGCCACCAATTTGAACAGCTTTAAAGGGGTCTGGAAAGCTTTGTGGAGTTTAAGGCTGTACTAGCTGTGTCCTGGCTCCAGTGTCAGTGGTGATAAGACTCCGAGTACAAGTTGTTGGGAAGCAAAAGGATGAGGAGCTGTTGTGATGGCGCTGGCCTCCTGGCAGCCGGATTGCTTCAGCTTACCTGGCTGGCTAGAAGGCAGGGTGGTGTGGGCACGCCAGTGGAACCAGTCTAGCGTGCCCATGGTGCCCAGACTTACCCACCACTGCCACCTCCAAGCAGATGGCTTAATAGCCCCTGAAGCAAGTTATGTGACTCTATCTTGCTAGCTGCTCCTGATAAAAAACTGGGGAAGCAGGCATGATGTGTTTCTGACCGGTTGCTATGAGAACAGGATGCCGGCCTAGAATGGGCCTTTGGATATAGGGAGGAAGTTTAGTACAGAAGCTGTTGGGACAAGAAGGTTTAAATGCACAGTTCAGGGCCCCAGTGCATGTTGGCAAGGAGTTTTCTAGGAGATCCTGTGTCCCTAGGGCATTTTAGTGCCAGGTAACAGATATATATACAGTGGTACCTCAGCTTAAGAACTTAATTCATTCTGGAGATCCTTCTTAACCTGAAACTGTTTTTAACCTGAAGCACCACTTTAGCTAATGGGGCCTCCAGCCGCCACGCCACAATTTCTGTTCTCATCCTGAAGCAAAGTTCTTAACCCGAGGTAATATTCCTGGGTTAGCGGAGTCTGTAACCTGAAGCTTATGTAACCTGAAGCGTATGTAACCCAAGGTACCACTGTAATAATAATAATAACAACAACAAATAATTTATACCCTGCCCATCTGGCTGGGTTTCCCCAGCCATTCTGGGTGGCTCCCAACAGAATATTAATAATAAAAAGCGATAAAACATTAAAGACGTCCCTAAACAGGGCTGCCTTCAGATGTCTTCTAAAAGTCAGGTAGTTGTTTATTTCCTTGACATCTGATGGGAGGGCGTTCTACAGGCGCCACTACCGAAAAGGCCCTCTTCCTGGTTCCCTGTAACCTCACTTCTCAGAGGGAGGGAACCCCCAGAAGGCCCTCGGAGCTGGACCTCAGTGTCAAGGCTGAACGATGGGGGTGGAGACGTTCCTTCAGGTATACTGGGTATAAAGAGCCTGAAACTCTGGAGAGCCATGGCATAGGAAGGAAGCTTCCTTCCAGGGCTGTCTGAAGCATATCCGGTGCCGTAGTGCAAAAATACCTCCGGTCGTCCCCCCCTTTCCCCAGAGTTGTCCACCTTTTTTTAGGGAGGATGGCACGGCTGGAGGAGGCTTGCAGCAGCTAGAGGGCGGTTCCTCTGGCGGGGAAGAGGCAGAGGTGAGCGAGGGCAGCGAGCTGATGCCAGGAGGCGCCACATCCAGCCTCTGCCTCTTCCCTGGCACCCTCCAGAACATGGCGCCCTGGCGTGCCGCGCCACTAGCCTCTATGGGTAAGACGCCCCTGCTTCCTTCTGTTGTGTTCTGGCCAATTGGGACTGAGAAGGTGGGATAAATGGTAAGGACTAGGAACTTGCGTACAAAATCTGTTTCATATGGTTCAATCGCTTTGTTGGATCCCTGCTTTGGTTCACACAGCTTGCCCCCCTCCCCCATGCACAAAAGTCTGTCTGCGCTTGGAAAATCTCACTGCCACGCAGCTGGCCCTCTCCAGAATGCTGATGGCTGTGGAATAGCGGGATGAGACCTGCCATTCTAACATTTGAACAATTCCCTTCCATGGAGAATTGTCAGGAAACAAAAGGGAGAAGTGGAAAGGAGGAGGAGGAAACCGGGCATTGTGAATAAAGGATGCAGACATTGAAGGGGAAGCCAGGAGTTCTGCCTCCGCTGTTTGCTTCTCAATACCAGTTTCTGGGTGGGAACTGCAAGCAGGGAGAGAGCTGTTGAATTCAGACCCTCCTTGCAAGGCTTCCCAGAGGCACCTAGTTGGCCGCTATGAGAATACGATGCTGGAGTTAGATGCCCTTTGTTCTTAGGCTCCCGTTGGGCATCTCTGCCCATCCTGAAGTATTTCTGAAGGATGAGGAGAGGTGGGGAGAAATGAGACAAAATCTGGTTTGTCCCCGAGGACTTTGAATCACAAGGCTTCCTAGGTGGTTTGGGTGCTGTGTGCCACAAATGTATTGGTACCTTGGACTCATTCTGGGATGGCCACCCATTGGGGGACACCCGAAAGAAATCACATTTTTGCATCGCGTTTGCACTTATGCTAATATAGTCCCTGTGACGTTAACATGTGAGAGCGGTGGAGGTGAAATAGTTAAACAGGTTACCCAATCAGAACCCAGAAGGGTGGAGTCAGAGGGACTATAAAAGCAGCTCTGGGAAGGGTGAAGGGAGGAGTTCATTGGGAGTTGGGTGGTTGGTTGGAGTGGGAGTGAATTGGTATAGAGTCTGTGGGTAGGTTGAGTTAGGTAAAGGTAAAGGTACCCCTGCCCATACGGGCCAGTCTTGACAGACTCTAGGGTTGTGCGCTCATCTCGCTCAAGAGGCCAGGAGCCAGCGCTATCCGCAGACACTTCCGGGTCACGTGGCCAGCGTGACGAAGCTGCAGCTGGCGATCCAGCACCAGAGCAGCACACGGAAACGCCGTTTACCTTCCCGCTATAAAGGGGTACCTATTTATCTACTTGCACTTAGGGGTGCTTTCGAACTGCTAGGTGGGCAGGAGCTGGGACTGAACGACGGGAGCGCACCCCACCGCGGGGATTCGAACCGCCGACCATGCAATCGGCAAGTCCTAGGCGCTGAGGTTTTACCCACAGCGCCACCCGCGTCCCTAGGTTGGGTTAGTGTAGCGAAATAAACTGTCAGGAATAGTTAGGGGCTTAGAAGACAGATAAATATCTGAGAGGTGGTTTAGTGAGAGCAGGTAGTGGAAGTTATAGGACTGGATAGGCACCCCATGATTGACAAGACTTTGACCAGGTGGTTTCTCAGCCTGCTGCCCAGGTCCTCAGTGTTGATGGGCGACAGAGAGCCGCTTTGCCTGGTTTTGCACCCAGCCCCAGTTCAAAATGGCTTGATTTGAACTAGGCATCCAGTACAACTTTATTTATTTTTTAATCTGTTCACTGTTGGTTTTTTCAGAGTCTTCTGGTTTTCTGGCAGTTGTGCAGACTTCCCTTCTCACCGTCAGATTCCCAAATATTAATTTCATTATCCTGGTGCCCTATATTATTAGATGCTCTGAGGATATCTTCATGCATGATGCTAAAAATAGGGCTGGATTATAATGGTGCAATTGGAGCAATTGTACCTGGGGTTGAGACCTGCAAAGAGGCCTCATTGCTTGTTGTTTTGCTCCTTGTGTGCCTCAGCCCTTCATCTCCATGTGTTGTAATATACTAATATGCGTAATTCATTCATTCATTTTTAAAATGAAATAAGGTTTATTTAGTTCATGCATTCCTTGGGGGAGAAGGGGACCCTTTTTTGTAGGTGGGGGGAAAGGTCAACTACACGAGGCCCTCATCCATCTCGGCTAAAATACATGTCTTTGGAGTCTCTCATGTTTGTGCACCCAAGTGAATATTGTTGATTTTATTCCCACAAAAAATGTGTGTGTTTAAGTGCAGAAACGTGCAGAAACACTGCCTTAAGAGAAAAACTGAAATACTCAAGGCAGCTTTCATCAAAATCAGTCAAACTACAAAGTACAATACAGTGGTACCTCGGGTTAAGTACTTAATTCGTTCCGGAGGTCTGTACTTAACCTGAAACTGTTCTTAACCTGAAGCACCACTTTAGCTAATGGGGCCTCCCGCTGCTGCTGCGCCATCGGAGCACGATTTCTGTTCTCATCCTGAAGCAAGTTC